CAGGCAAACTAACCAACACCCAGCCTCCTTCTCTCCAAACCGTAGCTATGGCAGACGAGTGATCGGATCTATTCCATCGGAATCCGCCAAAGACCTGGAGCCGTTCAGCAAGTCCATGAAGCGAGCATAAAGAAACCAGCTGGTTTACACAAGCTTGTCAAAGAGGTATTCGATATTAGATCAGCAAGCGAAGCAACAAAATCCAAGTTTCGAGAAACAGATGTGAGAGATCACAAACTATAAGCTTTCTACGTTCCACCTACTGATTTAAGATATTGGCTGGTCCATTCCGCAAAGAGCAGGCGCGACAGCTCAAAACCGTTTTTCATACTGACAGGACAGCATGCTGGGTTCTCAAGGTCCTGGTGTACGTAATTTTTCTGGACCTCGCCAAAGCCTTTGACACTGTCTCATGCCATATCCTAATACGTAAGATAGCTTGGTTAGGTATCCGCAGCTAGGTGCTATCCTGGCTGCAGAACTACTTAGGCAGCAGGGAGTTCTGCATGAAGGTCAACAGGGTCTACTCAACCTGGAGAACATCCTCATCCGGTGTCTCACAAGGAGCAATCTTGAGCCCACTGTTGTTCCTACTGTTCTTAAATGACTTGCCGCAGCATACCAGCTCCCCGATTCTCCTATGCGCTGATGATGTCAAGCTATGGAGGGCAACGACTTGCGAGGCGGAATCCATGGCATTACAGAAGGACCTCAGAACACTAGAGGAATGGGGAACTAATAACGAACTGGCATTTTATCTGGATAAGTGCCGGTCCATGTTCTTCCGCACTCCTGATTCCCAGAAAACATCCTACTATCTTTGTGGTTCTCGTCTACCCCATACCACAGCAGAAAAAGACCTGGGTCCAACGGTGACGGAGAAACTGGACACCAGTTCCAATTACCCAGGTGATGTCTCAAAAGCATATGGGCTACTACAGTTTGTGCGTGGACAACTGGGTGCCCTCATCCCAGAACTCTTTCTGAAGCTCTACAAGACTTACATACGGCCCCACTTAGAGGTCCATAACATCTTCGCTCTACCAAAGCTGAAAAGAGGCGCGAACTTACTGGAGAAAGTCCAGAGGCGAGCCACAAAATAGGTTGTTGGAATGCAACGAAAACCATGTGAGGATAGACTCAAAGACCTAGGTCTATACTCCCTTAGCTATCGAAGGATACGTAGCGACTTAATAATGGCTTACAAAATAATGAGTAACCCAAGTCGACCAAACAGAGGAGTCCTACCGAGTGGCCATTGTGGAGATCTTCGAGGAAACCCCAATAGGATAGCACACCAGAGGTCAAAAAGCATGTGCGTTCACAGTTCTCCCTCCGAGTCTGTGGGTACTGGAACACACTACCAGCAGAGGTGGTCTCCGCCCCAACTGTTGAAAGCTTCAAGAAGAGGCTGGACAGTCATGCAGAGACTCACGGTCTACCCACGCGTAGCTGGAACACGAAGTGATGTCACGCCACCTCAACCAGTATTCTTTCTATTGTAACCATTTAAGCCCTTTCCACCCCTTCCACTTGCCATAAATTAGCCTCACTTACCTAAGTTCTTCATACCTTTGCACCCCTACTCACCTTACTTAGGTGTAAGTGGGTTACTCCATTAGTTCACTTTTCCTCTTTTCTTTTACTCACACAAACACTTTCTAGGTTTTCGCTTTACTGTCTACAACCCTCTCCAGCGATCAGTCCTAACAACTGTCTGGCAACTCGACATCTGAAGAAGCCAACTGCACCACAGTCCAAGGCAAACAAACCAACACTAAACTTCCTGTTCTGTAAATCACAGCTATAGCAGACGAGTGGCTGGACCTACTGCATCGAAATCCGCAAAGATCTGGAGCTGTTCCGCAAGACCAAGAAGCGAACGCGAAGAAATCAATTGGTTTACATAAGCTCGTTAAAAAGATATTGGATATTGGATCTACTGATGTAAGATATTGGCTGGTCCATTCCGCAAAAAGCAGGCGCGACAACTCAAAACCGTTTTTCATACAAAATTCACACTAAGTATTGAAACTCGAATACCGAAGAAATGTGGCCACTAGTTCCCTAAGTACATAACAAAAATCTTGAAATAATATACCTTGGCGCGCTCCTTGAGTAGTGACGTGTTTCGCTCGTCTCTCAGCTTTTGGATTTTTCCACAATGAAAAACTCCCACTTTCAATACTCAATCTAAAAACATAGAACGTTTGCAGCACTTCTGTCCGTCCACGCACCTCACCCCTGCGCATTCGTCAGCTCACTCCTCAACAGTTGAAAATTGGCATTATTATTCCTTTGAACCAACCGGTCTACCTCCTGTCAGTGGTTCTTGGGCGTTTCAGCTGCCAAACTGCCTTAGCTCTCGGTTCTCCTCGGAGGTCATTCCCCAGGAAATATCTTCCCTGGTTATACATACGCATCTGGAGCTTACGGTTAAACTCGTTGGTCAAGAGCAGAGGATCAAGTGACAAGTGTCTGAAGGTGAGCCAACATAAATTATCTTCCCTTTTCTATTCTGTCCTTTTCCTGCATTCAGTCTTCAACCCTCTTATTGTTGTTAACTACTTGTTTTCCCAAGAAGTTTATATCATAGCGACATGTCTGCCCAAAACGCTAGGTCTGAAGCTTTGACACGGATAACGCGGTCGTGCACAACAACGGCCAGTAACACCCTAAACAACACACTAGTCTGTACTAGAAGACAAACAGAGGTAGGGCAGAACATCGAACTTCTGAAGAAGTGGCCAACCCATGTTTCTAGAATTCCAGTAGCCATCAGACAGGTGACACAGAGAAGCACTAGCCCGTCACAAACTAGTCCTATCTTGAGCAAGGATCATACCATGCCTGAACATAGAAGACGACGTAAAAGGCTTCAGAACAAGGCAGCCACAAGCAGTTCGCCACAATCCGTAGCACCTTATTCATGGAAGGAAGGCTGTATTACGACACCCGATGGCTGCAGTGTTTGCACCAAAGTTGTTTCGGTAGTCGATGAGGCATTTGCATGCAACCTGTGTCAACGATGGGTGCATTGCCACTGCGATACCAAAGTCCCCCGACAATACTATAAGCTGATGAAGAGACAACCATGCAAGTGGTTCTGGTACATCTGTCCAGAGTGCAGGAAAATGCCCGCACTCCGCACAGAAAGCCTGAAGGAGATGCTCTCCGCCACGCAAAAGCTACCAGCATCCTCGAATAAGGTAGGGTTAACACCAAAGGATAACACAGAGAGACCTGGAAACAGACCTAGAGCTCCAGCTGTGGGCACGCCATCTCGCGTGGGGACCATATTAGGTCAAGTCTCCATACCCCCACCCGGCCCCAGGGGACGTCAAGCGCATGGCCAAAGACATCGACCGCCGAAGCCTCTACGAAACCCATTCCGAACACCCCACACACCGTGACTGAGAAACAACCAGTGGAATTACTCAAACCCATTGGTAAGTCGGGCGTGCCACCCACAACGAACCCAGGTCACAGGAGGACCAACTCGATCATTTTGTTCAACGTCGATGTATCGACAGACTCATTGTTGGTCGAGAGGGAACAATTTGACAGCCGAATGTGGACCGACTACTGTCAGATGCTGGGACTCCCTCCCCTCCCTGCAACTTTGTGTCGCCTTTCTCGAGGAAGCCATGCACCCCGAGATAAGCCCCCCCTTTACGTGTGTCCCTAAATACCGCCAAAGAGGCTGAAGACACACTCCTCCTCTCACGACAACCGGACGTTGTTAATGCCTGTAAAATTCGGGCCAGGCCTGACAAGCCATGGTCAGTAAGAGAGGAGGAGAGAAAGTCAGCGGTTGGAAATCCCAACAGAAACAACACTATAGTTGTACATGGGATTCCAGAATTGCCAAGTGACAGCTCGGTCAAAGATCGGTACTTTCACGACGTCCAACAATGGCAATGGCTCTCAACCAAAGTTGGTCTCAACAGTATACCGGCCAACAGCGTCAGTAGACTGCCAAGGCCAGCGCACCTGAAGACCATACCCAATCCCAGACTACTTGCCGTCCAGTTCGACTCATATGCCTCCCTCACAGACGTTCTGCACGCATGGTATAATGCGAAAGATCGCATGGGTGGCTCAATACGTATATGTGAAAGTAAGCCTAGACCCACAAGGCAAGAGGAGAGACGGCAACCACCAAGACCTCTGGAGTCAGTGGTCGTCACACAGGCGCTGACCAGTGAGTTAGATACATCAAGTAAAGAAGCCACCACTGCTACAGCCCCCACCCAAGTTAAGAACAAAACACAAAAAAACGGAACAATGCCAGTCCTATGAGGACTGGCGAGGCTAAATTCAACCACGTAAGCGCTCATCCCGCGAAAATACACATCCAGACCTCCCCTCTCATCAGGTACACTCTAATATGTATGTACAGCAACGTTAGGGGGCTAATAGGGAAGGTAGCAAAAATGAGGACGCTGCGTGAACATCAGCACTACGACATCATATTCATCACCGAATCCTGGCTCTCATCGGACATCTCCGACGAAGAGATGCGTGTTGCTGGCATGGAACTCTTCCGCAGGGACAGGGAACATAGAGCAGGAGGGGGAGTGGCTATCTACGCAAACTCCTGTTTAAAGGCAAGGATGGTTAGCGATACGGCCTTAACCCAGCTCCCAGAGTCTCTATGGTGCTACTTCACTCTCTTCTTTATTCTCTCTTCATTCCTTTACCACTACCTTACTATTCTCTTCCAGGTACCTACACAGACAGGAGTCATGGCAGTTCTCTAAACTTCCCAGCAACCCGTAGCTCCCTAATCACTCTACAAATTACAACCTACTAACCCACAAAACATCCACCTCACCGAAGCTAAAAGCAAGAAAGCAGAGGGTATTTCCTCGTCCACTGCAGGAGTAAACCGAACAACTGGAACCAAGCCCTAAGAACTAGACGCGAGAGATCAAAAACTACTAGTTTTCTACGCTCGCACTATCAATATTGGATATTGGATATTGGTGCATGTGACTGGGTAAGAGCCCGCTCAGTTTAATTACTTTAGACACGATGCTTACTGAGGTGTTGTTCGACAATAAGTTCGCTGATCGTTTGCTAGCCATAGATGAATTTCACTGCGGTGTGCTTATCGGTGGAGTGAGTTGTCATGAAATTTTGACATGTCTTAGTGTATTGGACCTCAAGAGTGTCTGTTCTTACCCGTTGAAATCCCAAAAGATGAAGCATCTGATGATCCTCAACATCACTCTGTTTTATTCCGTAAGATTGAGGATATAGAAGAAAAATGGGTCGCATCACATTGCCGAAATCTTTCACGGATGATACCCGGAGGTGTTCATATAAGTGGTATTTGTTTCGTAGTTCCACACAGTGAATTTGATGTTCATGTTGAGCACACCAAGAAAGTAATGCGTTATTAGCTAATAGTCAGATTCTTTCTCATGTTTCACGTGACGAAGCGCTTACCAGCAAATACATGTGCTCAAGTAACAGAGACAAAGTGGTACTTGTAGTTGACCCTCAAACGAAAAAGTTTGCTCACATTTAGTTTATCTTCTGATTTCAGGTTCTTATGTAAGGCTACATGCGCAGACGGATCTAATGTATGTGTCCTGTGATATTGCTTTATTTGGTAGAGTCAACTCAGGACGTTAGATGTCAAGGTTCGCCCAGTCATAGACCGATGGATGGCGTTTAAAACTAACATATTGTTATCTATAGAAACGCACTTGCCGTCTGATCGAAAGAAAGAAAGAATTTTGCACCAGCTCCAGGTAATTTGGATTTCGTATTATCTGTGTTACACTCAAACTTTTATATCCATTCGATTTATGCACTTTAAAGTTCCTGGTATTTGTTTAGTAGCGACAAGGGTTTCTTTGCCATTCTACTTTGATATATCATTGCATTAGCGTATACATTTCTTATTTGTGCACACCACTGTAAAGAGCTTATATGCAGAGGAATTCCTAAAAATATGGAGTGACTAGCTACCCTGTTAGATACTTTTGATATATATTGAGAATTGTGATTAGGCACCTGAATTCAACTGACTTTCAAGGTGGTGAACATAGTTGTTCGCTTGTAACCTTATATAGTGGACAGACGACAATTAACTGCAGGTGCTTACTGAGTAATCTTATTAAGGCTTGGGTATTGGTGGAGTATAGTGTTCTGTTTTTCGATGGATACTGTTTTATTTAGGTATGGTTCATTGACTTGAGCGCTTAGTTGTAGAGTGGTGAGGGCTGCGTTTAAATCGTGCTCCACGTTTTTGGTATCTGGCAATCGCAACATATCATAAGCCTGCACAGTACGTTTGGTTCATATCTTAATGAAGCAACGCGTACCGCGTGCTTTATCTACATTATTTTTGTTGCTATTTCCTTCATTTATCCGTCTTCTTACTTCGTAATGGTAAGATTGATAATCCATCCCAGCAGCAACAAACAGGATTTCTGATAGGGCTATGCAGCATATCTATTATGTAAGTCATTATTACGTCCTGGCTGCTTAAACGTCGGTAAATTTGCACTGTTTGAGCTTATCATGTTTAAATTTAGGTTCTTAAACCGACCAGAAAAAATTCGATGGTGTATGAAAATTTTCTAATTCGTGTTTTCATGGTGCACAATACATTTCCCTCTGCCCGTGGATTCTAGAAATTGAGTGCATTATGTGAATTTCTATATCTTGGGTTGTGTCGAGTTTTGGAGCTGCTGTAACTCCCAAAGAAAGCGAGGGAATGTGTCAGAAGAGCAGTCGTCTCTAAATAGTTTGTACAACAGCCTGCCAGTATTTTCAAATCCAACCAAGTTCCATTCACAAATTTCAAGTTTTTTTCGCATTTAGGTTAACTTTGGTCTAATGAAGGCTACCAAGACGAGAACAATTCGCCTGATCTGCAATTAGTCCTCCTTTCACCTGCTGTCCAACATGATCCTGAGTGGGATGTTGAAGTGGTCCCTTCCACGCTTACAGAAACTGAGAAGCTTGTAAGTAACCTGAGAAGAGATAAGGCAACAGGTTCCACTGAGTTAAACTGACCACTGTGTTAGCCAGCGCATGGTAATCATATATGATCCTTTATGATTGGTTTCAATGTCTGATTGTTCTAGTCCTCAAGAAGGGATAAAAGCCTTCATGTGATAACTACAAAAAGATCAGTCATATGGTTGTTGTGTGAGACTCAAGATTCCATAGCCATAAGACGTCTAGGTGAAGCTCTGGGAAAGCAAAACCAACGAAACGAGACATGTTTCGAACCTGGTTGTAGATGTTCCAACAAAATCTTCACTTCGTTAGGTCTCGGAAAACAGGCAAAATTACTGGCAATTGTTATTAGTTGTGTTTCTTAAGCTCTAGGCGGGATTTGGTACTGTCGGTTGAGAGGTCTTATGTTAATGTCTCATTGAAACGGTTGCCGGATAAGTACATCAGTTTGTTGAAAGCTCCATATTTGAACACAAGTGGATTTAATAGAGTTTACAGTGAGGTGTCACTAGAGTTGTGTACATCGAATAGTGTCCATCATGGATGTTCACTCTCCATTCTTATTAAATGTTGCTGTAGGCGTGCTTATGAAAATCTGCCTCTCGTCTTACACTGATTGACATCGTCACAAGAGACTCCTTAGTAAACTTAGGATATACAGATGACAAGATCCTTTTTGGGTAATGTTAAAGAGATGTAGAGTCCTATGGACACCTAGACTGGCGATTTGAGAATGTTTACGATGCGTTTTTAGGCACTCAAATTGTTTCTCGAGGACTGGTCTGCATTAGCACCTCATATTACAACATGGAGTGAAGTGATTGAAAGTGTTGACCATTTCCTTTACTTAGGAAGTAGGACCAGAAATCGCGCTTGTGAAATTCTCTCTTTCAATTCAAAAAGACTCATTCCAGCTGACTCCGACGATAGTGGGAAGTGAAGTAAACTCAAATCCAAATTGGTTGAGTCTTCTCAGTGATGGCGAATAGAAATTCAAACTATCAACATAGGACCGAGCATTACTGCATAACAGTCTAAGTTGCCGCACCTCATATCAGCACATCAAACGAGAATCCACTACGATGAAAGATAAAGAAATAAGGAAGAGGGCGAACAAAAGTAACAGATCTTCAGAAACGAGGATGGAGAAATGAGAGAATACTAAAGCTAAGTATCATGATCAAGACGAAGACGATGGGTGAGTACATCTGTACCATTGAGATCGATTCTCAGCCATACCGCCTAGATAGAGTCTGTACAACTGGCAGTTTCTTTCGTCACGTGGACCCCAACTGAGAAAGTCTACATTTTACCACACTATTCAGACACCAACAGTCAAAGACTTCCACGATTGATGCCATGTTTTTGTTTGCTTGCCTCTACCCCTTCTCCAGTTTGAATTCATTTCACCTATTATTGCGTGATGAGGCAAACAGAGACGAGACATGCACAACATATGTCCCAGCCACCTCAGTCGATAAAGGTTCACAACGCTCTTTACTGCATGTTTTGCGTCACTCTTTTTCGCATTGAAACTATTCTCTGCTATAACCACATGTGAATATTTGGGTTTCAGTAGGACGACAGACAGTTTGTGATAGATATCGTCTTTCACCCAATGCTAACTGCAGTCAGTAGGAGTGATAGTAGAAATTACGAAGGGAGAATGACGAGTCGAAAAATGCTCTGGCGACTATCATCTGAGAAGTGAACTTTATGCTTTAGGACTTATGCTGTACCTACGTCTGTAAGACCAGCCATCGAATCTTTAGAAACTCAAAGAATGAGTTTCGCACATCCTCCAAATTGACCGGGTGAACATGAATGAATAACCACACGTGGATCGTGTATGTCTGTTGCACAAAAACGGAACAAGTTCGTGGTTCGAAATGTCAGAGTTTTGGCTAGTATAGCTTGTTGTCTAGTTTAAAGGGGAATACAGACATTGGAAGCTCTAACATGTAGTTCGAAGAGTGGTTTATGTGACCAAAGATGGTGTTCCATGAACTTAATTCGTTATTAAGGGCTGCGGAGCTGGAACAAATCAATGGTAACCAAGGATTATCGTCACAGAAATATGGAGAGAGACTAGGAAGCGAAGGTATGAAAGGTTGGTAATAGTCTGAGGAAAATTTAATACTGACGTTGTTAAGGGCTGATGACACTTCTACATTACCTACACAGAGGAAGCTCACGCGATTTTTAAGATACCTGAAAATGAATTCAGCATTCGAGTGATTTCAGATACGGTGATTTATCCTTCTTTCACCGTTTTTGGATTGAGTCATTGTTGTTTATTGCTAGGAGAAAGAATATACCGATATTTTAGCAAGTGCAGATTATTTTGAAAAGTAAAGAATGAAGAATTGTTTTATGTTGTCATTTTTTCAGAGGTAAAGATTCAGGCTTAATTTCAAGTGTTGTGTGACGTGTACTAAATAGGGAGAATCCGTATCTGCAGAAGTATAACCGTGATATATATGAACACAAATGCTTTTATCCATATGCACGTATGCTTAATAACACAGTCATAGTTTGCGATCTGTAATCAAAATTCACTCAAGGTAAATACTTCCTCAGTAAAATTAAGGATTCGACCTTTTCATTTTATTGTTACGTCTATGTAGGTGACGTAACAATAAAATGAAAAGGTCTAAGATCCTAACATAGTGTCTAAGATCCTAGGTTCTATAATTCTCCGACACCTGAGTGGAGCTCGGGAACACCAAGCCCGAGAAAACCAGGCAGGCTTTAGACCTGGCCGCGGGTGTATCGATCAAATATTCACACTGCGCCAGGTCCTGGAACATAGGCATGCTTACAGACGCCCAACAATAGCTGTATTTCTCGACCTGAAGGCGGCATTTGACTCCGTTGATCGAGAAGTCTTATGGCAATGTCTGTCACTAAAAGGCGTGCCTAGTAGGTACATCACGTTATTGAATGCCCTCTACTCGAACACTTGTGGGCATGTTAGCCTATGGCGAGTTGTCCAGGGATCTATACTCATCAAGTGGTGTTCGTCAAGGATGCCCACTATCCCCATTCTTATTTAATTTTATCATGGATATTCTTATGGAGGTTTCCCTCTCTTCACCTAATTACATAGACGTTGACCCAATCATAGGTGAATTTTCTTTCGATCTAGAATATGCAGATGACATAGTCCTGTTAGGTGAAGACGCTGACAAGATGCAGAGTCTTCTGAACATTTTGAGTGGGAATTTGAGAATGATTGGGATGCGATTTTCACCACCCAAATGTAAATTTTTGCTCCAGGACTGGTCTTCAGCGGTACCTCAGCTAACAATAGAGAGTGAAGTGGTTGAGTGTGTTGACCACTTCACCTACCTGGGAAGTAGGATCAACCCCGGTGGGTTAGTCGCCGATGAGATTTCGGCACGGATACAAAAGGCTCGATTGGCTTTTGCCAATTTGCGCCACCTATGGCGCCGCCGGGATATTCGTTTGTCTATTAAGGGTCGCGTGTACTGCACAGCAGTCCGCTCTGTTCTACTGTATGGCTGTGAAACATGGCCATTGAAAGTGGAAGACATAAAAAGGCTTCAGGTGTTTGACCACCGTTGCCTTCGTAGTATAGGACGTATTCCGTGGTGTCACCATGTGAGTAATGCAGAAGTTAGGTGTAGAGTTTTGGAGAGAAGAGGTAAGTCAGTTGACGAGGTTGTGAACCTTCATCGACTGAGATGGTTGGGACACGTACTACGTATGCCCAGTCACCGATTGCCACCTCACACAATGTTGGCTGAGGTGGGTCCAGGCTGGAAAAAGGCTCGAGGTGGCCAGACTAAAACATGGCACGAATGTATGAAGTCTCTGACTGTTGGTTTAAGCCATGTAGGGAGGGCGATGCAGACTAGGTGGTTGGTGTCCGTGGGACAAGAGGAACCAGTGGTTGGAGACCCTAGGTGATATGGCTGAGAACCGAAGTCAGTGGCGCAGATGTATACACACATTATCCTCATCTTAACAACGCTATACCGAATCTCACCATTTTTTCACTCCTCTTTTCTTTCTTCTCGTACTTTATATTTCTTTTGACTTCATTCACTTATCTTCATCCTTCACCTCACTACCTTTTTACTTGATGAACTGACGTGAGGTGTGGCAACTCGGACCGTTACGCAGTAATGCCTGGTCCTATGCTGATAATGATGATGATGATGATGACTATGTAGGTGAATATATTTTTTCTTTTGTTAAATTTCAAGGCTGCTGTCGAACCATACATTCAATCCCTGGTTACGGAAACTCAACTATTAATCAATGGTGAATTACGTCAACTCGATGAGAAATTGTTGAAGGATTCGGATCTTTCTATTCCTTTTGACGGTGATATGCAGAACAAGAAAACTAAGAAGGCATCCAAGTCAAGGCGATATGACATATCTTTAGGAGATATGAATCAGTCTTGTGGTTCCACAGTGGGAGGCAAGAAATATGTTGTCACCAAGGAATCAGCCAGTCCAGCTTTCGCTCCATTGGATATAATAATTTTTGGGCCACAGGTTAGCTGTTTTTCATCTACCATATCTAATTTCTACTGACGTTTTGTAACTTGTACAATTTATGCTTTTAACCGATATGGGTAAGTAGAAAGAACCCTTATCAGTCAGCAGTGTTTTTGTAGCCTGAAGATTTTGAATACCAAAGAGGAGAATCATTTTGGGATCTGAAAATTGTTCTACACTTCGGTGTCACTTGTAACCCACTGGTGATCTCGTAAATAATTACTTCGACACCACTATTGTTTTTTGCTTAATTTAAGTAACTGAAGAAGGTGATTACGGAAAAAAAAAATAAAACGTCGACTCATCAAAAGATTGAATCCCGTATTGTTTATGCGCATAGCACTTGCCAGTACTTTCACTATCATTTTTACGAACAGGCATAAATCAGACTGAAGAAGTTGAATTGTTTCATCTATACCCTGACATTTTGTCGAATTAATCAACGCAAGATCACATGACACAGCTCGATATTAGCTATTTTCTCATTGTTTCTAGGGCTATATATGAATTTTTTGATCGGATCTTGGAGCTAGGATGCTTCATTGAAAAGAGTTACTTAGCAGTTTACCACATTCCTAGAGGCTTGTTTTCCATGTGACTGGAGATAACTACGCATTTCCTGTCCTTTGCTAGATGAAATCATTGTTTCCCTTTATTGACTAGAATCATTAAGAAAGGAAAGTGACCTGTTGTGTTTATTGATTGTGATTTCTCAAAACCTTTCTTAATCCACGTCGAGAGATTGGGTATAATAAATATATCGTTATGCTTCGTTATATACATACTAGTGGACATAATCTTAGGTACGTTTAACTTCACAGGGATTGATCTACTCCCTGGAGGTTATCTGGTTAGCTTGCAGTATGCAGATGACAGTGTCCTGCTAGGTGGTGTAGCTGACAAACTTCAGGGTCTTGTGATAAGTTGAGCAGAAATCTGAATATGTTTGGCATACGTTTCACACTTGTCGTGAAATGTCAGATAATGCTCCAGGACTAGCCTGCTGCAAGGACTACCAGTTCAATGATTGAGAGTGAAGTGATGGAGTGTGCCGACCACTTCATCAAAGCAGTCCCAATGGCTTTCAGTAGGATTCATCTGAGATGCCGAGTTGCTATTTTTTTTTCCAAATGCTTTGTCTGACGTTATTGAGAATATTGATCCGTTTACTTTTTTGTTTACGCCACATATTAATCATATGTCTCTTATTTATTATTATTATTTTCTTCAAGTTTCCTCAATGGCAGCGGGCAAGTTCATCATCATCTCTTGAATCTGGTGCTAGTTCTGATACAAATGTGAACAATGAAAATGATACTAACGGATCTTTAGGTAGCTTTGTTCCAGTTAATCGGTTATCAATAAATGGTCGAATTCCTGGCATAGCATTTCTACCAGTTAATTCGAATGTTGGAGATCTGCTTGAGGTTAGCTTGTTGACTGACCAAATGAAGAGCATATTTTTTAAAATCAATATTTCTGTATTGTTATATTTCTTCAATGGAATTGTTGCATAGTGCACATTTCGAAGTACTACTTGGGTATTATCATTTTTAGAACACTAATATTCATCGTTTTATGTGATTGAATTGCTACAATTACTTGTCATCCTAAGTGGGCATATTGCTGAGTGATCCACAAAGGAAAACTGGAAGGAAATATGTGACGCGAATGGTCAGCTTAAGACGTTTTCAGGAAGCTGGAGTCATTCATATCGTATTGTAAAATATGTTTAACTAGCAGGGTTTTTCCTTCTCTAAATCTCGACTTTTTTAAATACCTTTATAGTGTGTCATGCAAGCGGAATTATTCTCTATCCAATTTGTTTTTACATTTTGTGTCACCAATATCCATTTCATATATTGGTTTTGGGTTTATATCTTACTTGTGGTCTATCGTCACAATAATATTAGCAGCGTATATAACCATAACTAAAGTAACAGCATCCGTCCTCTCATTAAGAAGTCCAGTCCAGGAAAAGCAACGGTGCAAAGGCCTCTTTTTGTTCACAATGCTTCCTGCGTTCAAACCCTTCTCTATCTAAGTTTGTCTAAGCAGTCTGCTAGTATCTTAAGTCTTTACATGCTCATTAGCCTAGTGCTTAATGTAAGTGCCAACCACTAATTATGCCCGTCCACATAAGTCGACAGTTGTTGTAATAAAGGTTTTGCTATAGTGTACTCGGTGGCTGGCAGTGGAATCCAGGACGTGCATTAAGTCCTACTTGAAACTCGTCAGCTGGATGTACCTGCACCTCAGTGAGTGATGTCGTTCTTACTGAGAGTAAAGCACAGTACCCATCGATTCAACCACCTTTATCGACTGGGCCGCCTACAGAGGCCAAGTAATTCGACCCAATGTAGGAATGAGAAACCACAAGTAACAATAAAGGTTTTGTTACTATATCTTTACAAACTAACTTTTTATTCATCACAGCATATTACATTCGCTTTCCTTTTGGATTCGAATTATTTCATAACTGTTAGACTACTTTTATCTTGTTCATGAGTATGTGTGATTGGGTTGCAACTGTTTCCTCCACATTGTTGTATCCAAAGCTTGTTTCACATAGATCAGGCAGTTGATATTGTCAGCGTGTAAGTCCCTTTGGATTCTACCTCCAGTTTGGGTTCAATGAAGTTTTCAGGGGTCAAAATCAGGTTGAGATTCACTAAAAACCATGAAACACTGTCGAAATATTCTCACATACTATATGCACCTTATTACGATAGACGATGCGCCACATCTATTGTATGAAGGCTAGTGATGCTACTTGGCTACCCAGACCTTGTTAGGTGAAACTGGGTTCGTGCCCGTGACCCGCTGGTTAAAAGTCAACTGCCTAGACCAATGAGTCAAGAGAAGCGCTGTGCAGTTGTTTCGTTCTGATTTTGCTCTCTTCATCAGTGTGCCGTCTCAACCTAATGTATGGTTGAACCTAAAACGATTTGGTCTCATGGCAAGCACAATGTCATTCAGCTTCTGGGTTAGAACCCAACGACCCAATTCTTTCTAACTTCCTGTCAATTTGTAAAACACCTTACTCATCATCGTTGGTAAGTTTTGAGTACTAGAGAGTAATTCATTTATTCGTTCAATACTCGTGATCTGATCCCGCATTGGGTTTACGGGGTGGTGGTAGAGGGTTGGGAGTTGTACTATCAGGAACCTAACAAGTCAAGACGATTTATGATGTTGGGCTCCATGCAACGGAGTTTAAGATGTCATTACTTCGTACTTATTTTCCGCCAGTTCACGCACAGTGTTCTTGTTCATCTCTATGCCTTTCTGTATTTGGTGACTTTTATTATGCCTTGTCATAATTCATGTCACGTGGGACCAGTACACTGCTATGTGGAAACTTTTGTTGTTTTATCCATTTGTTTGACTGCTTTAAGTGAAATATACTCTATCGGTTCTCCCAACTTCATCATTATCATCATCGTCAAGATCTACATAGGACCAGGGATCAATGAGTAACGGTCCAACCCACCACACCTCATATCAACACATCAAGTAACAAAACAAAAAAATGGAAGATGGTGAAGGAAAGGAAAATCGGTCAAAACAAGTATAAACCGAGGTAGAAAGTAGAAAAAGAGAAGAAGGAAGAATGAGGTAATGAGATTAAGTAAAGCGGTTAGGATGAGGATAATGTGTCTATGCATCTGCGCCACTGACATCCATTCTCAGACATATCACTCATAGTCTTCAACCACTGTTTTCTCTTGTCCTGCAGACTCCAACCGACTAGTCTGCATCACACCACATGGCTCATAAGAACAGTCAAGGACTTCATACATTGATACCATGTTTTAGTCTGACCATCCCGAGTCTTCTTTTTCCAGCTTGAATCTACTTCGACCAACATTGTGTGGTGAGGCAGATGGTGGTTAGGCACACGTAACACATGTCACAACCATCTCAGTTAATGAAGGTTCACAATCGCATCAACTGACTTACCTCTCCTCCATACAACTCTACACCTGTCTTCTGTGTTACTCGTATGATGACACCACGAAACACGGCCTTCGCTATGAAGGCGACGGTGATCAAACACCTGAAGCCTTCTCATATCTTGTACATTTCATGGCCATGTTTCACAGGTATACAGTAGAACAAAGCGGAGTGCAGCACAGTACACTCGACGCTTAATAGACAATTGGATATCACGGCAGTACTACAGATGGCGTAAATTGGCAAAAGCCAACTGAGCCTTTTGTATGAATGAAGGGATTTCATCAGCCACTTACCCACGGAGGCTGATTCAACCTCCCAGGTAAGTGAGTCGTTCAACACTCAACCACTTCACTGCCTTTTGTTAGCTAGGGCACCGTTGAAGACCAGTCCTGGAGTAACAGCCTGACTTTTTATCCTAGTGGCAGTGTAATTAGTTATTCAACATACTAAAACAAATATACAAACTGGCATTTCTACGTGGAGTACAAAGAGTATAATCATGCATTGACTTATTCAACTCAGCTGTTTCATTGTTTGTCAGGATATTTTGGATATATGCTCTAGTTTAACAACTGTGTTAAGTAAATATTTCATTACAATAGAAGTTGAATACTACCTAATAATATTTAGAGGGACAGTCTTGCCATAAATACACACCGTTCCCTGTTTAGCTGTCTAAATTTATTTTAGGCGGGACCGAACTTGTCTATGTATATACTTATAATATGTTATCATCCATTCTCGTATACGAAAGTTGAAACTCGATGCAGATAATCTGTCCTGGGTTCAACCCCTCATGGCATCATGGGTATGCACAATTGAGGAGTCCCAGCCTAGGATTAAGCTACTATTCAGTGTTTCTAGATTTTCAATAACTCTTAAACCGATTTCAACCTTTGATAAAAACAGCGTTAAAGTCAGTTAATCCCCTACAAACATTACAGGGAGTATTTTTAGTTTATTTAATATCAAAAACTGTGTTGTTAAATATTCTTTCTTTTTTGTGTAATTAACATCTAGGCACTGCGGAAAGATCTCATCAGAAGCATTTTGGCACGATTACAACTATTAACTGAAGAATTACATATTACTAGTGCTGAACTGGAAGGTGAGTTAGCTTAATTAATCTCTGTTATTCATTGTAGACATTTCATTGTTTTAACGTTTACAGTAGTTCATCGTGCACGTTTTTTCTTGTTTTTCTTTACTTTAACTGTTTTTTTAAACATTGAATGAATAATCTATAACTTAAACGACATATAAAGCAATACTCATATGTGATTACATACAAGTCAAGGTGTATTAGACAACATATTCCATGGAATATAAGTGAATAAGTTGCTTCAAATCAGTGGAAAGTGTTATGAGATTTAAGAAAACAACAATGGAAATTGTGATCATTCTATTCAATCATTGAAGGAAAACGAACTATATTTCCTTAGGATTAGGGACTTGACTTTCAATCACTGAGTAATGAGTTTATCTTACTTCAAATTTGGAACAGTTACAGCGTACCATGTAAAGTAAATGTAATTAATGGGTCGCATTATTTATGAGTAGGTTAATAATTTTTACCTGTGAGAATCCTTGGAATGTCGAGTACATCACAGTTCTTTGTTTCCTTCTAGGCTTTTCTTTTAATCTTCTGTTTGTTATGAGCAGTCCATAACAGGAAGTCATGGTTTTATGAACTACTAGAAATATAAAAAATAATGCACTCAGCAACCATGTGTATATTTGTATATTAGGTAGTGAGTCACACCAATAGTGTAAGGGATATTTATTGATGATACTACCTGGATGCCTAGACCTCGGTAGGTGGAGCTAGAACAACCGTGATGGGTCAGTGGCCGATGAAATCCCTTCACTAACTTACGCCATCTGTAGTACTGCCGTGATATCCAATTGTCTATTAAGCGTCGAGTGTACTGTGCTGCACTCCGCTTTGTTCTACTGTATACCTGTGAAACATGGCCATGAAATGTACAAGATATGAGAAGGCTTCAGGTGTTTGGTCACCGTCGCCTTCATAGCGAAGGCCGTGTTTCGTGGTGTCATCATACGAGTAACACAGAAGACAGGTGTAGAGTTGTATGGAGGAGAGGTAAGTCAGTTGATGCGATTGTGAACCTTCATTAACTGAGATGGTTGTGACATGTGTTACGTGTGCCTAACCACCATCTGCCTCACCACACAATGTTGGTCGAAGTAGATTCAAGCTGGAAAAAGAAGACTCGGGATGGTCAGACTAAAACATGGTATCAATGTATGAAGTCCTTGACTGTTCTTATGAGCCATGTGGTGTGATGCAGACTAGTCGGTTGGAGTCTGCAGGACAAGAGAAAACAGTGGTTGAAGACTATGAGTGATATGTCTGAGAATGGATGTCAGTGGCGCAGATGCATAGACACATTATCCTCATCCTAACCGCTTTACTTAATCTCATTACCTCATTCTTTCTTCTTCTCTTTTTCTACTTTCTACCTCGGTTTATACTTGTTTTGACCGATTTTCCTTTCCTTCACCATCTTCCATTTTTTTGTTTTGTTACTTGATGTGTTGATATGAGGTGTGGTGGGTTGGACCGTTACTCATTGATCCCTGGTCCTATGTAGATCTTGACGATGATGATAATGATACTGATGAGTAGGGGTGGGTTCGTACCTGTGACACGTTAGTAGGTAAAAGTCAACTGCCTAAACTCATGAGCCATAACTTACTGACTACTACAAGGCTGACTATATTGTCTGCATAAGAAGGAATTTGAGCAGGCATGTTTTTAATCATAGAGTTCAGTTTTTACGTGAAATACACTACTTCCACCTATTTTTATATGCAGTCAGAATGTTCCCTCTCACTTGTGGAATATATGAGTTGTAGATTGAAAATAAAAAGTTACGGAATGTTTGTTGCAGGCATTTTAGAAGATGACTCACCTTAGATGCTACTACATAATGAGCAATGCTGGGGCTGGGCATACCGAGTATTGGGTCACGGACGAAAGTTAATTCATGATATTATTTGCCGTCATCGACTTGAATATATTGTACAATTTTGACCAATACCTGCTTCAACTCACTGTTCTATGTGAAATAAGAAGTCGAGTCAAAACAAAGCTAAGGATGACCATATCCAGAAGTGTCACTAAACTATGAGCTGTATTTGTAGATTATTGAGGGCTCTTTGTAGCTCAAAGGTGATCGCAGTTACACAGATGTATGCACTCCTTGTCACCAAGTTCTTAAATACAACCATTGCCTTTATTCATTTTATCTCTATTCACTTTTGGGAACATGGATCCACACTCAGTAAGGCCAAGTTGTCCAGTCAGACTGTTCCTCTTACTCTCCCTAGTTGAATTGATTGAAGAGGAAGGTTTTCTTTCTAGTATATCCTTTCAAATATCTACATTTCATCAACAATTTATTAAGTCGAAGCGAACAACTAGGAAATATGGATAAAAGTAGAGGAAATATCAGTGATGAACTAATAAAAGGGAGATAGAAAACTAAGACAGAAAGTACTAAAGCTATACTGCAATAAAATGATTTTTACTGACAGCATAATAAGGAATCTTAACTATTGCCTTAGCACTCAGTAGCTGATCATTTGATAGCAGTTGTGTTTAGCTTATTATATCAGGGTCGTTTAATCTATTTAGTGTTTTCGTTTGAGCTTCTAATTTTGGGCGACTTTAAAGGTCATCCTAGCAACGGTGAAAATAACCAATTATGTTTCTTCATTTCGACTGGAAAGGTAGATTTTCATAAAATACAGTAGTCTGATTGGTTAAGTTGTTACTGGGATGGCCTTTAAAGTCACTCCTAATTTCAGTGTTGCTACGTGTACCAAACCGTCGTTGATTGGACCAAATTGAAATGTCTTTATTGGGATTTAGGCTCCTGCGTGGATGCCCCGGTATTGCCTGTGCTCCAATTATATATTAATGATGGATAGTGAGTTTCAGTGAAATCCATGACACGCGTTTCATCCTAATTAAAACTCGTCAGCTGGATTAATTGCCCTTCCATGAGCGATGTTGTTCCCACTAAGACTCGAACTCGGGACCGATCGCTTCACATGTGATAGCGTTTTCCACTAGGCCACTGAGTTCACTGCCAGCCACTGCCCATTAATATTATTATTATTACTATTATTATTGCTGTTATCACTATTATTATTAGTATTATGAATTGTGTATGACCATGGATAGATGTTAGGGTGCATCTCCTAACAATTGGATGCGAATTTCGCTTCACTTATGAAATCTTTTATGATGTTTATCTAACTGTGGGTGGTTTATACCAATTTTGCTGCTAATTGTTTGATGTTTAGTTCCTCGTATGATGTTGCCTCAACGAGTATTAGTTCGACTTCCTCCTTGTCCAACACTACCATTATCTGATTACAAATTCTTGTCAGAAACTGCAGAAGATGTTGTCAATCGTTTGATTTACTTCTGTTCTCCTCTTGGTGTCACTGGGGGTGGTGGTAGTGCTGCTGCTGCATCTGGAGATCTCGTCAGTTCAGGCATCTCGAATTCTTCTTCAAAAAGTTCTCTTGCTGACGTTGAATCAAATGCTTCACCTCATGATCGTATTGATGCATCATGCTTGGATACTACTCTTGAAAAAAATCCTGAGGGTAAGTTTGTGGTATACGGTCGATAGCCTAATCTACAACAGTTTTGGTTATTCTTACCAATTTTTACTTACTGTTTTTATTGTGATTGATTTTTAACAGTGAATGGGATCACGAAATGTCATCAGTTACACTGTTCAAAGGCGAACAGTCTTTGTAGTAATGCTTATATATAGTGGAATCACCATGTGAACAATGTCGTGGTTAAGCGAAAGGTAGCAGGCAAGACAGGGGAGCTTATTGATGAGGTTGTGAACCTTAGTCGAATGAGTTGACTAGCTTGGACATTTACTGCGCAAGCCGTGTTATCGCCTACTTCGACGTGTCATGCTAGGGGACGTCGGATTAAGTTCGAAGAGGGTTCAGATTGGTGGGACCATGACATGGCACCAGTTAGTTGATGAAGTCTCTTACTGTTGCTGTGAGCTGTGTGGGTAGATGTATACTATAGGAGTCAGTGGTTGAGGACTCTGGGTGACAGTATTTACTACATGTGATGAATGGTTTTTGAATTATTTACTCCCCTTCACCTATGGGAATTTCGTTACTTGGAGGTCTCTCGTTCGAATCCTGCCGTGGCCCAGATTTCCATTTGACCGTCAATCACCACATAGTATCAATACTAGTTTGCCAAGCCACTGCTGCCTTAGATAGTCAAACTGATGAATAGACAGATGGACAAGCAAAGTCAACGTAGAATCTCATACATAAGTGCATCACCTCAACTTGCCACTCTTCAAAATAGTATTCAAAGAACATGAGGATCGAAAAAGACTGATGTCAAAGTAGATAAAGTGGTGCGGGAGAATAAACTATCTAGAGATGCATGTTATGTCAAGGAGTGAATATGTCTGCACCACAGCGACCTATTTTAGGCCAATTCACCAATAGTCCGTAACCACTTATTATTTTCGTCTTAGGAACTTTAGCCCCCTATAGTCTACATTTCCCCACACAACTCAGACCAACAGTTAGGAACCTTATCAACTGGTACTACGTCTTGATCTGAGCATCTTGAAAAGATAAAGCAATATCACTGTTGGATTCGATAAATTATGGTCATTGAACTGTTATTTTTTCTATACCTTCTTTTGACATATTGTTTACTATTTCCTATAAAGAATAAAAGTCTGAGTGAAGTACACGCTATTCTCTTTTCTGCTAAACATTTTCACTGATTAGTTACATCTACTAATCAATATATTCAGTTATATTTAAAGGACGAAATAGTTGTTCATTACTATTGTCAGTTTATATTTCTCGAGGAAGTAAATCATACTTTATGATATATTGCTGTAATAAGTTTTAGAATGATTACTTTATAGTCTTTGCCTGAATTTAACTCACTTAACCTAAGCGATCACCGTCATGTATATTCTGTTCCAGCTGTTACCAGCTGGGATGTTGTCGCTTCTTGAAAGTCCTATTGTATCAGTTAGGAGAGAGGTACAACAAAAGTCAGCTGAAATTATGATGGCACTTTGATCCCATATCTAGACTAGATGATACTAATTGCTATAAGTTGTGGTTTTCCGCATACAGATTATCTCCAGAGACACTACCTTCCAGATGTTGGAAACAGTGGTTTGGAGACATTAGCAACTAGAGCGTTCTTGTAATTTTCTCTGCTAAACATGTTTTCAAGTTACATTTTTAACCTCTAACCATCAAAAGTCCTTGGTTCGAGTCCTGCTCCACCTAAGTTAGTCTCAGTCCTCACATAATAAGTCTGGCTTATAACCTAATGTGTAAATCTGTGCACCGGATTGAGTTAAATGAAATGAAATTTAAATAATTAGAGGTGAGGTTGTTTACTCTTTGGGATTATTTGATTTGTTGGTTTCACTGGTCAACTGATTGTTTTATCTGTTCAATATGATCAATGTATATCATTTGTTATAAATTTGTGGATGTCTATATTATGTTGTTTGATCATTTTTCTTTTTATTTATACAGTTAGTGCTGACGATGAATATTCAGAAGCAGAGTTGATAGATGAGGTTACTGAATCAGTGCCATCTCGCAGTCCGTGTACGTGAATTTCTTTATTAACTAATCATTTTTTCAACTATCACTGTGTTCTCTCTGAAATCAACGTAAAAGAAAGTCTATAGTTAGATGATTTCTATTGTTACTATTCTGAGAAGCTTATACTTCACCCATGGAGTTGGGAAGTCATTTCAGAGTATTGTTTTAGAATACTGGTTAACGTTTAAACCAGTGTTGTATGTCGTTTGATACCTGAGATATTCCGTTTCTATACAGCGTTGAATCGCTCGACACCCTGTTGGCAGATGGGCTCCTATGCAGATGTTTCGATACTACTGGCTATTTATCATATTGTATTCATCTTAGTGACTCGCAATGGAATCGAGGATGCGCGTTTCCTTCCACTTGGGACTCGTTAGCTGCACGTCAGTGAGTGATGGTGCTCCGACCAAAATTCGCACCCAGTATCCATCGCTTTAACGCCGGAGCGTTATTCACTAGGTCACTGAGGTACCACAGCCACCTCTTGTACAACAGGTGCCAGTTATTATTTTATTGTTACCTTTTAATTTCTCGATGTTATACTGGATAGAATTACTGTACCTCCGTTTGGAGATGGGCTCTTATACAAAAGCCTCGAAACTGTTTGGATGTTCACTATCCGATGGTAGAGATCGAGTAACGAAATCTCAACTAATGGATTTCTCGCCTGTATTCTCCATCAGTTGGTTGTTATAAGTCTTGTAATCGAGTAGATGAGCGTGTTTATTGTCTCTGGAATGCTTTGAAGAAACAAAGTGTTTTTGATAGCAACTTGAAGTGATGCTGGTTTGAATAAGGATGGAATTCTTCATCGTTGCAGATATATGGTTATGTTGAGTACTATTGAGCATAAAATTTGCTTTTCCATTCATCGATAACAATGCACTTATGCGCAGTGTATCACATTATTGTACCACACAATATAACTTGTCGGCTTTTTGAGAAGTTGATATTTTCTTTCAAAGCTTGTTCTCCCTCCCCCAGTCCTCACCTAAAGAAAAGTGTTTGTATTAATTGGGATAACTACCGATTAACAAATATTTCACATAGTTTGTACTAAACCTTTTATGATTAGGTTACATTGCTTAGGATGCTCGATGTTCTTACCTTTTATGTCAAGTTGGTCGTATCTATCGCGAGAAGTCAAGCGTAGATTTACATCCTGTGTAACTATCACCATAGAAGCAAAAGATATAATTTCCAAAAATTGTTTGGATACAATTTTCATGATTGAGTAAGTTGCTTCGAAAAGAATATCTACGATGACATAGGATTGAAGAGATCATTTGAAAATCCTAATATACTTCTGTGATATACTGGAATTATGTTTATGGAAATGCATTGATAACCGTATACTTTCGACTAGATAATCTCCTCATTGTCTCTAAGTAGCAACTGTGACACCACATATTTCGATTAATACCGTGAAATATCTTCTTCATATCATATATCGTGAACACCCAGCACTTATGATTACATTCTGTCAGTGCGCACTGGATCATGAAGTGGATTCTGCCTAGTTGTGTTGTATCTTGAAAGTTAATTGATTTGTTCATAGTGTATTGTTTTCGCTTTTCATCCTCGTACACTAATAAAATTCATGCTGCTTTGTTGCTTTCAATTAATAGTTTTGTATTTCATCTTTCTCTCTCTCTACACCTCTCTAGTGTTAATTTCCAGTCCTCTCATAGTAATTACCAGCATTATTACTTTGGCTATAGCTGTTCTCTTCGCCTATTATATTTTCGCACAGCAACATTCCTCAAAAGGTTTATCACCACCAACACCACCACCACCATTGCCAAAATAAATGTGATTATTACTTATTATCGATACAATGTACAAGACTGTCTAAATTTCTATTATCCCGATGATAATAATCCTTTTTTATTTAGTGATATACATCTATATGGATAATAATATTGCCTTTCAGACTATGCAAAACAACTAACGCCTTATTTCTTTTGATCCCTTTTCTTTTGGTATAAAAGAAAATCGACCAGTGAAAAACATACACATACACATACATACATTCCAATTATATCCCTTTCTTCATCTTTTTTTCTCTTTTCGATTGTTTATTGTTTGCCATGTCTTCTTACAGACATATAGGCATAAATTAAACAGATTTGTTTTAGGTAATCTAGAATACTGAAAGCTGGTTTGGCTCTTTTAAAAAAATATTTGTGATTCAAGGGGGTTGGGTGGGTGGGTGGGTGAGTTATTTTGCCTGTGTGATCTATTCATTATTTCAACAAAATATTGTTCATAAATAAATTTCATCATATCTCTTTCTTCCTTTTTTTTTCTCTTCTTCTAATGTTCTTTATAAATAACTTTCTATTTTCTAAATTATTTATACGCTTCTGAGTAAGTTGTTTTTTTCATTTGTGTCATTATTTTTCTCAATTTTTTTTTCTTGATGTATATCTTCATACATCATCTCAAATGGAAACGAGCGCAATCACATACTTCAATATGCGGTTGTACAGGAAAACCTCTGTGTGTGTGTGTGTGTATGTGTATGTGTGGATATTTCTGAATTTGACCAGTTGCCTAAGAAAATTATATTTCTTAAAAGTTATATATTTCTAGGTGTTATTGGGTGTTCAGTCAGTCTTCGCTTTTTCTGTTATTACAATATATATGTACATCATATAGAATATTATTTTATTGTCAATAGACAATTTGTTCATTATTCAATACTCTTGTAAAATGACTAATAGTCAACAAATGACATTAAAGATATTAAGTATTAAATAAATAAGTTTTCAGTTTACTTGTTCTTTTTTTTTTTTATGACTTTAAAAATTGATTGATGATAGTGTTGTATTGTTACCTTTTTTTTATTGTTTGAAAGAAGAAATTTTTAGTATATCTGTTAACCTTAGATTAGATTATTGTTCAGTTCTTTTGAATGTTTTATTTGCTTGATTTGTATTATGATCTGTTCTGAATATTGAAATTCTAACTATATTTGATGGCTTTAAAAACATAGCAGTTAGTTTGTTGATGTGAATTCTTAGTGATTAGATTTTTCTGCCTATCAGCATACTATCATCTACCTGATATTCATATCCGATAGGATTTGGATCTTTTTCTCTCTCTCTCTCTCTCTCTCTCTCTCTCTCACTGATTAGTCCACAGTATAGAACGTGTTTCATGGTCTCATCAAGTGAGTGATGCAAAAGTCAGATGTAGAGTTTGAGGTAGGATCCTTCATCAGCTGAGATGGTGGGGGCATATGTTGTGATACCTTTAAGAATTGGTCTGAGCCATGTGGGGAGATACAGGCTTCTTAGTTCGGGTCTACATCACAACAGAAACCAGTGGTTGAAGACTTTAGATCGATGTTAGGGATGCAGATATATCCACATATAATCTTCATGTTAACCGCTATATTGAATTCAGCATTTTCTCATTTCACCTTATCTTTTACTGCTTTTGACTGGTTTTTCTTTCTTTCATTCATCTTGTTACTTTGTTGTTTGATGTACTGATTTGAGGTGTGATAGCTTGGACCCTTACACGGTAATCTTTGACCCTATGTTGATATTGATGATGATAATTTAACTCAGTGTCTACGTCCCTATTTTAGCATATAGTTAGGCAAGAGCCAGATTGTATTTTCAACACACAGAAAACTATGCCTCTTTATTCACTAGTAGAAAGCGGATCCTTCAAAATCGTCTTTTGATAGATTAGTTTGACAGTCTGAATGATTGAGACATGATTTACAGTTAGGTTGTTCCTTACAGGAATTCCTCAGATAGATCTATTCATTTGTTACCTTTTAATGAATGGTTTTGTAGTATAACATGAGTAAGAATTGTACTTATAATCTAGTTTTGCTTCTGAAGCAGTAGTTGCATCCACCATCTAAGCTTGGGTCTTTCTTTGACAATCTTTCGCCGTTATATAAAGAATTCTCTTCGCAAAAAGGTGGATTAAGCCTATTCTTTCATTTGAAGCGAATAGTAGATATCTAATAGATTTATTCCATCTTTCTTGGCATCAAATTATTCTTATTTAAATATTGGTGATAGTTTGCTCTGTTTGATTAGTGTTTGATCTATATTTTTGTGTCAGGTTCTTTTTTCCTACCTCGTTTTATTCGATTCATCTCAATACATTTCAGTGATTAGATTCGTTTGCGAATTGACTTATATTCTCATTCTTAAACTGTTAAATAAGCCTTCGATTTATTTGCCTTAGGGAGTTTGGTTTCATTTACATGCAAATGATAATTTTTTTTTAACCTAGAGACAACATCTCAACGATAGATGATAACTAGAAAGGAGATAATCAAAAATCATTGAAATAATCAAGAATACCAGACCTATAAGAGAAAAAACAACAGTGCAGAAGCATGTAATATATCGATAAGATTTTAATCAAGTTTGTCAAAAGGCAAATTATAAAAGACCAACGGGGAATAAAATCCATTGGACTTGTTGTCCCAGGGTTCTATGGTAGACTTAAAATACACAAACGTTATAGCTGTATGTACCTCAGTCGAACGGAAACTGTCTACTGGTACAATGACCGTTCCTCTTCAATGATACACATCTATCATGGTACACATAACTACAGTTCTCGAATTCGACAGAATTAGCTAGTTGATGTCTTACAATTTATTTCTAATCCAACGACAAATTGTACAGATAGACATAAGTTACAGTAGTGTTGCTTGTAATATACTGTCGTTGACTGGACCGAATTGATCGGTCTCTATTGGCATATGGGCTCCTGTGCGGATGCCTCGATATCACCTGTTTTAATTATGGTAATGATGGATGGTGGCTATCAATGAAGTCCAAGCTACGCATTTCGTCCTACTCCGGAATCGTCAGCTGGATGTACCTGCACCCCAGTGAGTGGTGGGGTTCCCACTGGGATTCGGACTCGGGACCGATCGCTTCAAACGACAAAGCACCATTCACTAGGCCACCAAGCCACGACAGCCACTTCTTATGCGACGGATATTGTCTTAGTATTGTTGCTTGTATTATACCGTCGTTGATTGGACCGAATTAATCGGTCTCTTTTGGCATTGGGCTCCTGCACGGATGCTTCGATATTACCTGTGTTTCGACTATAATAATGATGGGATAGTAGCTAGCAGTGGAGCAACATCACTCACTGGAAGACAGGTACATCCAGCTGACGAGTCCCAAATAGGATGAAATACGCATCGTAGGTCCCACTGCTTGCCACTATCCATCATTACCATAATTAAGTTACGCCAATGGGATCGCTTGTATAGTGGAGGTAGTAAGGCAAAGATAAGAACTGTTATCTTGCTCTGTCATTCAAACCTTATATATGGATTACACATTCGGAATTGGAAAACGCTTAACAGGTCATCAATAATAGTTTCGATGATGTGGAATTAACAATTTTTAGGTGTTCTGATCACCAGGATCAGTTTGGAAAAGAGAGAAAACTGTTCAATATCTGTTCCTCGGAGAGTTTTTCTTTTTCTTCTTATTCGTCTACATAAACATCAACTAGGAGTGAAGTGTTACGATTAATGTTCATTTATATCAATACATGTAGACAGTTGTATGGAGATGAAGTTGACTGGGAAAAGGTAGAAATTCTGAATAGAGGAAATATGAAGAATGCCAGAGCATTTCTAGAAGCTTGGCACTCAGGTCAATCAGCGACCAATTGATATCTAAAAAAATAAGAAGGTCATTGTTCAGGTCATCAGAATAACCCATTGACATATGTGGGGGGAGTGACACGAAACAGCCACCCCCGAAGATCATCAGATCAAACTATGAAACTATTTGTAGGGAATTCTCATGGTTCATCTTTTCCTGAAGTTGTTAATATCTAGAATGTCTGTGAAGGCTTAACGATTAAACCATTCAGCTCAGATTACACAGCATCTCCTGAACCACCCTCCCTAACTTGGGATATTTCCCGTCATAGATAAAACATAAGGATATCCGCCGCGGGAATTGCTAAGATTTATATAAGATTTAAGATTTATATATATAGTTACTGGGTGGTGATTAAAGGTGTGATGAGAATTTGGACCGCAGCCGAATTCGAACCAGCGATCACCGGGTTTCACGGCCCTATGCTCTACCAACTCACCTACGAGGTCCTCATACCTTAAATCTTCAGCGCAATAAACCATTTGAAATAACTGAGAATGAGATACCTGATATTGCTAATCATCGCAGGCGTAGAGGATGGTGTTCACAGAATTCTGTCACATTTTGTTAGGTACCTAAACTTATTTAATATCAATGATTAAAATCAATTTGAAGGAGCGCTGGGCGCGGAAGCTGTGTTCGACCTCTGGAGGGGTCATGAGTGGACACTGTTGAGGAATCTCATACTAGAGCGAAACAGCTCTCCAGAGCTCCTCGGCTTTAAATAGTTCTCCAGCTGATGTCAGTCCATGATGAATACTACCTTTAAATAAATCAAATCCTCATAATCCTGAAACTACAATTCTGAAGTACTATCTTATGCAGAATAGAAGTCGTTGTACAGAAGTCCAGAATTGAGTTGACGGTTAAGCCTGCAGGATAATCTCTGCTGGTTAGAGGGTTTTATGGATAGTCACCTCTTTACCCCAACTTCATCGATTTTGAAAAGACTTTCGAAAACGTTGTCTAAGAAGAAATTTGGAAACTGCTTCAACACTACGGTTTCAGTGCCATAAACCTTTATCAACCTCATTCAACAGCTATGTGACGACGCTACAGTCCCAATGATTCACAATGGAAAGCTCAGTGATACCTTTGAAGTGAAGACTGGAGTAAGACAAGGTTGTCTACTGTCGACGACGATCTCTAAGATTGTGGTGGGCTGCACTGGATCATGCAACAAACTGTGAGATGGGCAAACGCTGTTTCGCTGATGAAAAGACCCTAGAAAATTTGGATTTCACCGATGATGATTTACGTCTAGTGTCGCACAAACTCGAAGATCTACAGGCGAAAAACAACAAGTTGGCAGAAGAGGCGAGGCAGCGAAGACAGAACTTCAGGTGAACGTAGAGGAGACAGAGGTGATGAAGATGTGCAGACAACAACAACAATCACCATGAACGTGAGAAATCTAAATGAAGTAGCCTGTTTCACGTACCTAGGCGAGGCGGCACCGTTTGAATTACAGGTGTGGTCACAGATGAGGATATGGAAGCGAGGATCGGAAATGGAGCAAGACAGATCTTCATCAATCTGTGTAGACGAGTGTGTAGATGTACTGCAGTGCAGTGCAGTGGAGTGGAGTGCAGTTCACTGGACTGCTGTCAGCATAAAGCCTGAAGAAGATCCGTATTTTGAACACTAATATCAATGAGTCAATTCAGTGGTTGGTTGTATGTGATGATTGAGAGACTAGGTGTGTAATGAAGAGCATTTGCAACAACGTGCAGACATATATGAACGAACAGTTGTCGCCTGCGTTAATTCGATACTGAAGATCAGATCAGAGGAGGAGGTGTGGCCTGGACAGGAACCAACCAACCAGCCAAGAAGCTATCGGCCAACAAATATGCAGAAGACGGAGAAGTGGAGATGGATTGGATTGGATTAGACATAGACTGAGAAGACGGTTTAGGGACATGACGTGCCAAGCCAGGCCAGGCCAGACGAGACTAGACCAGACCAGGCCGTTGATTGTAAAGCAAATGGGAAACGAGGAGTTGTGCGTGTGAGGGTGATATGGAGTAGATAGTGTGAGGAAGAAATGGAAGTTTGTGGTGAGTCATGGTGTCAAGTTGAGAATACTGTAGAGAAGAGAGTGGAATGGTGATGTGTTATTGAATCCTAATGTTGCAGTAGGAAGCCAAGGGACAAATAAAAGTAGATGATGATAATATTTATATGATATGGTCACTCTTTTTTACACAGTAAAGTCTCATAATGTTGAAGAATGTTTTTAGTGTAAGAGACCAGTTCTTCCACTTTAGTGTGTGTTTGTAGTATGATGAGTGAAAGTTGTTAAAGGTGTCGGAGAATTAGTGCTGTGATGGTTTTTGTTGGTAGCTTCGGACAATAGTGATAGATGAATATACTGAAGGGAATTTGTGTCCGGTAGGGAGCATTGATATAGTCAGACACCTGATGGGAACTGTGTAGGGGGAAAATATCTTCTAAGTCTTGAGGAAAATGAGAGGAATAACAAGAATTGTCATGTATACTATGATTTTGTGACTGTTGGTGTGAGTGGTGTAATGGAGTGTAGACTATCTGGTTATGAGGAGGAGGTAGGTGTTTGTCCTGAGGATAATATAAAAATGAGTGTTTGAGGAGTGTTGGTGAATTGGTTGAGAATGTGTCACAATGACGTAGATGTACTGACTGTTTGACGTCTTGTGAAGCTTGACTATTTGGACTAACCTTTACCTTGGAATTGTTTTTTATCTCACAACTTTGTCTACTTTGATATTATTTATTTATCCAGTTGTTTTTTCTATACCACGGCAAATTGTGGTATATTGATGCGATGCACTAGAATGCAAAGTTGTAGATTGATCTTTTCTGTTTGTCTAAATGTGTAGAAGTTTGCTGAGTGCATTTCAGTGTGATTCCCTTAGATGAGTTTCGCAAATTTTTTGGGCTCTTTAACGAAACCTTGGAGATTATTTGAATTTTAGCTGTGTACTTGCTGTCTCATTCAATCCATCATCATCATCATCATCATGATTATCAACCTAGGACTAGGCATTACTGCGTAACGGTCCGAGTTGCCACACCTCATATCAGCACATCAAGTAAAAAGGTAGTGAGGCGAAGGATGAAGATAAGTGATTGCAGTGAAAAGAAATATCAAGTACGAGAAGAAAGGAAAGAGGAGTGACAAAGTGGTGAGATTCGGTAAAGCCTTGTTAAGATGAGGATAATGTGTGTATACATCTGCGCCACTGACTTTGGTCGAAGAATTAATACAGGTACTGATGATTGAGTCAAGTCGTTGGTCTAATATGGTAACAAATAAAAGTGTTTTGTTTGTTGTGGTTAGTCAACCCTTTCTGGTGTCCAAGTTCCACTGTGAAATCAGTTGGTCTGGCAACTGAATTCAAAGTGTGTAGGAAGACAAGCTAGCAGCAGAATTGAATTTTGAGCTGCCATCTCACTTTTGATATTAATATTGGATAATGGTCAGCAGTGAGATACAGGACACGCGTTTTGTCGTAATTGGGACTCATCAGGCGGATGTACCTCTCTTCCAATGAGTGTTGCTTTTCCCACTAAGACTGAAACTCAGGACCAAACGCCTCAAACATCCACTGAGTCACGATCACCATTTCTTGTTTTATAAGTATTTATTTTACAACATAGAAGTTTGTATTACGCTGGGGAAATTCTCAATGGTTTGTCGTAGAAGTCGTTAGCTGTCTTCTTGGTAAACAGGTTAAAGTTTGAACTTCTTTTTTGAGCTTCGCATAACTTTAAGTGTTATATCTTCAAATTGATCATAGTAGTTTGTGCAATTTTTATGACTGCCTTTCCCCTTGTTGTCTGCCACTTCTCTGTACAGGTGTACAGTTCAACAACATGAACTGATAGGTAGTTATGACATGACCATTATCCTTGTGCCATGTTGATTGTTGTATTATTAGCTATGATATTGTAATCTCAAAATAAATTTTTGAAAAATGCAGTCCCAACTACTTTGTTGAAGGATATTTGTTTAAATTGATTATCATTATCAAGGTCAGTAGAATTGGTTCGAATCAAAAATTCCCATAAGATATTCGACATTTTCACTTTTTCTAAAATGGTGTTGAACATTATTTCAGTGTTGTGGGATTTATAACTTTGTACCAAAAGGTGGAACTGAAAGTACACCTTCACATCAGCATCAAACGAATCGCTTACAAATAATTTAAACCACTTCATGTTGAATATTATTCTATTAAGTACAACAACAAGTCGTTTATTCGGTGTTAAATTTTGTAATCATATACAATGGTGTTTTTAATTTATCATTACCAGTTGATAAAAACTTAAACTGGTTAAAGTACAGGAAGGAAACAGCACATTCTACAACACACAAACACTTTGATTGCCTTGCGTTTTCCGTTGACAAATGACAATAAGAAATAGGATCTTGTAATGACTAATAGTAATTACTCAGTCTGAATATTAAAGCACATGACCAATTACCTGCATACACTAAATATATGGCGTACATTACGACTTCATTTCGGGGATTTTATTGGTTCCAAGTTGGTATTCATCAATGAATGATACCAGTTGGAGAAGCCATGGACAACCGTTTCGTCCCAGTATGGGACTCCTCATCAGTGTGGACCCATGACCGCGCCGGCGATCGAACCCACGACCTTCAAGTTGCACGGCTACCACGTTACCATTGAGTCAATGGTTCCTATGGCCCATATTCTTCTACTTCTACCTATCCCATCGTCCGAGTTGGTGCACTCCACTGGTCATGGCTTCTCATCTCGAAGCAAGGCACTGGTCAGCAATTCAATTCGGAGGTCTGTTGGGATGAGTGGGCACTACTGAGGATCCCCATATTAGGACGAAACAAGTGTTCAGTGCTCCCAGGTTTTCAATGGTTCTCCAATTGATATCACTATGATGAATACCAACTTAAAGCGTTTATATTTTGATTTTATAAAGATTCGTATATACTTCTGAAGAAGCCGTAACTTACAGCAAAACGTTCAGAAAAATGTTTTGGGATTGTATTAAAATTTACCCTTATAACAGTTAAATCAAACTCTTCTGCGCTCGACTGCTTCCGGGACATTCGTAGCAACTATGGTGATAATGCTTATAACTGATTGAAATCAGTTTGATTTCTTCGGTTCAATTAATTATATTCATTTGTATATCGATGAAGTTGTGACAACTTGATCCAATACACTTGTGTACGAGGTTCTTCGTTGGTTTTTTCCGTTTGTCTAATAAACGTAACCTTTCTGCGACTGAGAAGCCTTGGACATGTGTTGCGTATACCGATTCACCGCCTATCTGGACATGCCATGCTAGGCAAAGTTGGATTAGGTTGGAAGATGGTTCAGGGTGGCCAGATGAAGTCTCTTACTTACTGTTAGTCTGAGGTCCTCGAGATGATAGGAATAGGTGTATGAGGACTCTTGGTGAAATAGGCATATGTAATCACTGTTTGATGTCTTCTGAAGCTTGAATATTCACAGCAGCGTTTATCTTCAGATTGCTTATTCTATCGCACCACGTTGTTCACTTTGAAATCACTCCTTTTCAATCCCCATATTCTTTGTATACTACTATGAAGTGTGGCAAGGTGAACCTGTATGTGAGGTTCCACGTTGATTTTGTCTGTTTGTCGATGAAGTATTATTCTCAACTTCGTTCAACTCTTCAGAGAACTTTATTTACCTATCGGACGATGTCTAGTAGTTGGATTTCTTCAAACTGTAGTCGTCTTGAAGCCAGTAACTTTCGTTATATCCACTTTGTAATGAATCCATTGATATTGTTTGCTGGTTTCAGTATTTTAGTACCCAATTTTGCATATATTTATGCCTATTGTCTCATCTGAAACGAAGCCTCAAGGGAATATAAATCGATAATCAAGGTCTTTATACAACATTGGTGATTACTCGTGTAGTAATGATCTGTTGTTCTTTCAATCTTATAACTTCCCTACTCGTTTACTCATTAGATCTCTTTCTCTTATATTTCTTGTAGACATTTCACATTTAAACAATCAGATGATCTGTTTTGAATCTTGGTTGTAATGTGCCATCAACAATATCAAAATGTGAAAATTCAACTGCGTTATTTAGTTCCGTTTTTTCATGTTATAATTTGTTTAGGTGTACTATTGCCTTTACTACTATGTGAATCTGGTAAGTAGTATTTTTATACCGATGTAGTCTTATTGGTTCATTTATGAAAGGATTCAGCCCTTATGTATTCTAGATTTGTTGATTTTATTTCAGATAAATTACATGACAATCAAAATTAGTATACCTAAGTTAAGGTGGTTTTGCTACACAAAATATTTGTTTATTCAGTTCTTAACTTCACTAGAAAATTTAGATATAACCTAGTAATATCGTAAAATTCCGACTGTATTTTGAAGGTGAAATGCTTAAGTTGTTCGTTTGTTTACAAGTTGAATATGACCAGCAGTACCATGCGGATACTGTGTTGGCTATAATAAGGTGGTGGTGGTGGTGGTGGGGCTAGATAGGGTTAACTTTCAAGATAGCACACTCTACCCTATCCTATGGTATTTCCGTGCCGGCCGATATACGTTGTCGTATCCGGTGTTATTACGATCAAAATCTCAGTCAACAAATCTCAAAAAGTGCAAATGTGACGGGCCTCAAGCAGATGTCCTATGGTCTCTACGATCATACAAATCTATTCGTTTGTCTCTTCCACACATCTTATAGAGACGTAGGGATAAAAGGCAGCCAATAGAGAAGTCGTTTTCAGATCATTTTCACATCATGATCAGATCATGATTTATGCATGCATTGACGTGAGAACCTAATTGGAGAAATTCGACGTCATACAACCAATCGGATTGATTCATTTATGGCTTCATTTTCTGAGTTTTGTATATATATACATATCTGTCGTTGTTCTTGCAGTCACAGCCCGTCTTTGTCTTCTGATTTTTCGCCGCTCAGTGAAGCAGGAGGTACTGAGGGAGGCCGGTCGTAAAAGTATTCGATTCAGGTGTCTATTGAGTCTCAGTATCATTATACCCACGCCCGTAATACCACTCGGTCACAACATAGAGATGACTTCCATGGTATAGGCACCTGGCAGCAGAATACAAAACGCAGTCAACTATGACCTAACCTCAATTCTTTAGCTTCCCTCTTGCCTTCACTTCCAGATACCAATGTTATGCTTCTTACAGTTTGATCAACTTTTCACCCTGTGACCACTGGCAATTATTCAAGCCAGTGAAATACCATTCATAGTCTCACTGGAGCTTTCAATGTTAGAATCCCATGCTAAATCTGACGATTGGCATCTCTTTCCAAAACTCTAAAATGTTGAACCATGAATGTATGGTGTGTTTCTGAGACATACAGGACTGGAGTCAATGTGATGAATCTGGAAAAATTAATTGTACTGGTGTCCAGAGATTCAGCGTCTTGCTGCTGTGGACTCTAGTCTATGTATAACAATATGTTCTGAGGAAGAAGGTGCACTTCTCGACTGAATACTGTGCAACAGCCGTCTGTGCGCTATTCGACTAGACGGATCTATCGTCAAACTTTGCAGTGATCATAAACAATGGTGAGTGGAGAAGAAGAACTAGAAAGAGAGAGAGATGAAGAGGTCGCAGGCATTAGATGATGCTCAGTAATCATTTCGGCTTATTAAGTGTATGCTAGCAAGAAGGCAATCGTTAGTGAGACAATGACTAACAAGAACGGGTCTCCACTTATCACTTTCGAAGCATAGTTCAACTGGTCCACGACAACTTTTCCTTTGCCAACTTATTCTTTACATACTACTTTGGAATATTGTACACATTGATAAATTGAGTGCACTTTTTTGTTATATTTTAGAGCTACATCGGATCGTTTTCATTGAACCGGATTATATCCATATCACATGCTTCTTTATTTTCTTTGTTGTATCACTTATTGCCTACGGTTTGACAAGTTGTATTGACCCCGGTTATTTAACAGCCGAAAAGGTATGTAGAAAAGAAAAATTGTAAATTTGTTTTATTTCCTTAAAATGTATCGAAACGTTTGTGAGAAAAGTGTAAAAATGCATAAATTGTTTATCACAAATTATCTTTTATAAGAAAGGCTAATTATACAACGACTAGTGAAACTGTTAAGATTGTTTGGATTTGAAGAAGCTGGTCGTGAATATGAGTCTTAGATGGAATAACATCATTCACTAGATGGCAGGCTCAGCTAGCTGACGAGCCCGAAATATGACGAAATGCACGTTGTAGATTCCACTACTAACCACTGTCTATCATTGTCATAATTGAACTGTTTATTTATCAATTTCAATGATTCATCTACCTTACTGTTTGAATAATTTAGTTCGGATAATATTTTTATTGAACCGATGAAAAGAGCGTAGAAGATTTGGATTTCACCGATGATGATTTACGTCTAGTGTCGCACAAACTCGAAGATCTACAGGCGAAAAACAACAAGTTGGCAGAAGAGGCGAGGCAGCGAAGACAGAACTTCAGGTGAACGTAGAGGAGACAGAGGTGATGAAGATGTGCAGACAACAACAACAATCACCATGAACGTGAGAAATCTAAATGAAGTAGCCTGTTTCACGTACCTAGGCGAGGCGGCACCGTTTGAATTACAGGTGTGGTCACAGATGAGGATATGGAAGCGAGGATCGGAAATGGAGCAAGACAGATCTTCATCAATCTGTGGAGACGAGTGTGTAGATGTACTGCAGTGCAGTGCAGTGGAGTGGAGTGCAGTTCACTGGACTGCTGTCAGCATAAAGCCTGAAGAAGATCCGTATTTTGAACACTAATATCAATGAGTCAATTCAGTGGTTGGTTGTATGTGATGATTGAGAGACTAGGTGTGTAATGAAGAGCATTTGCAACAACGTGCAGACATATATGAACGAACAGTTGTCGCCTGCGTTAATTCGATACTGAAGATCAGATCAGAGGAGGAGGTGTGGCCTGGACAGGAACCAACCAAATAACCAACCAACCAGCCAAGAAGCTATCGGCCAACAAATATGCAGAAGACGGAGAAGTGGAGATGGATTGGATTGGATTGTATTGGACATAGACTGAGAAGACGGTTTAGGGACATGACGTGCCAAGCCAGGCCAGGCCAGACGAGACTAGACCAGACCAGGCCGTTGATTGTAAAGCAAATGGGAAACGAGGAGTTGTGCGTGTGAGGGTGATATGGAGTAGATAGTGTGAGGAAGAAATGGAAGTTTGTGGTGAGTCATGGTGTCAGGTTGAGAATACTGTAGAGAAGAGAGTGGAATGGTGATGTGTTATTGAATCCTAATGTTGCAGTAGGAAGCCAAGGGACAAATAAAAGTAGATGATGATAATATTTATATGATATGGTCACTCTTTTTTACACAGTAAAGTCTCATAATGTTGAAGAATGTTTTTAGTGTAAGAGACCAGTTCTTCCACTTTAGTGTGTGTTTGTAGTATGATGAGTGAAAGTTGTTAAAGGTGTCGGAGAATTAGTGCTGTGATGGTTTTTGTTGGTAGCTTCGGACAATAGTGATAGATGAATATACTGAAGGGAATTTGTGTCCGGTAGGGAGCATTGATATAGTCAGACACCTGATGGGAACTGTGTAGGGGGAAAATATCTTCTAAGTCTTGAGGAAAATGAGAGGAATAACAAGAATTGTCATGTATACTATGATTTTGTGACTGTTGGTGTGAGTGGTGTAATGGAGTGTAGACTATCTGGTTATGAGGAGGAGGTAGGTGTTTGTCCTGAGGATAATATAAAAATGAGTGTTTGAGGAGTGTTGGTGAATTGGTTGAGAATGTGTCACAATGACGTAGATGTACTGACTGTTTGACGTCTTGTGAAGCTTGACTATTTGGACTAACCTTTACCTTGGAATTGTTTTTTATCTCACAACTTTGTCTACTTTGATATTATTTATTTATCCAGTTGTTTTTTCTATACCACGGCAAATTGTGGTATATTGATGCGATGCACTAGAATGCAAAGTTGTAGATTGATCTTTTCTGTTTGTCTAAATGTGTAGAAGTTTGCTGAGTGCATTTCAGTGTGATTCCCTTAGATGAGTTTCGCAAATTTTTTGGGCTCTTTAACGAAACCTTGGAGATTATTTGAATTTTAGCTGTGTACTTGCTGTCTCATTCAATCCATCATCATCATCATCATCATGATTATCAACCTAGGACTAGGCATTACTGCGTAACGGTCCGAGTTGCCACACCTCATATCAGCACATCAAGTAAAAAGGTAGTGAGGCGAAGGATGAAGATAAGTGATTGCAGTGAAAAGAAATATCAAGTACGAGAAGAAAGGAAAGAGGAGTGACAAAGTGGTGAGATTCGGTAAAGCCTTGTTAAGATGAGGATAATGTGTGTATACATCTGCGCCACTGACTTCGGTTCTGAGCCATGTCATTCAATCCAGCCTGGGTGTTGTTTTGAAATAGAGCAACATATGAATGTGTTGTTAATTTTTTTGCATATTCGGTAGTATTGTTATGTTTTGACCTCTGTTAATTATTTGTTGTAAAACTATTGTTTTTATTTTCGGTTGTTATAATATAACAATGTGGTAATTGTTCCCACTCAGATAATGAGTTTTAATTAGATTTATAACACTTGGAATGTGCTTTACGGAGAACCCGTAAATTCGTTATCATAGTTACTTGTTAACAAGATGTGTCTGCAGTCTCCACTTAATTCGTGCTGCTTATTAGATCACTACTGATCTGCGTGGATGTAGCTCAGTGACTTCCAACCTGTGGGCCTCATATTTAGAACTCTATTTGCCTTGCTTATTTTCTCAATCGGATGATAATAATACCGATGCGATGTACGCCGTATTATTATTATCACTACTACTACTACTAGGTCACAAGTATGGCACAGCAAGGGCACCAGGAAATGCACCACACAAAGTAAAATAACAACATTATGAAGATATAAAGCGAAGGGAGGCGGATAAATGAAAAGTAAAGCACAATGAGAATAGAGTTATTGGGAAGGCTATCCAGTAAGATAATTTTAAAACAAAACATTCATTACTTTTCAGCACCACATGAAGATTTAATGAAGCTACAGCATGACCACCACGAATTTCTATTCTGAGCCACATCTGATAGGGTCTTAAGCCACTGAGTTGTGTTATCTCTTGGAGCCCACCCGGGGAGTCGTGATGCATCAGTAGATACTATCCCGATACAACTATCTTTAATCTCTCGGCGCTACGTCATACAATGACCGCCTCTCCACTTCTTCCATCCAGCTCCGTGGCTAGCACACAGTGAACGGTGAGGGAGCCGTTGGGACGACATGCGTAACACACGTTCAAACCATATAAGCTGGTGTTTCCAGATGAAATCACTTATTGAATGGCGATCTACCGCGTGCCCACACGCACGTTGTCGTACATTGGAATTACGGGGACGGCGATGATCGAACACACCGAGTCGTCACACATCATCAACTTGGAGAGGCCAGGTTTCACTGGCATAGAGCAGAAGTGTTCGCACCAAAGCGTTGTAAACCCAACCTCTTACAGTTAGAATAGCATCATGACGGCGCCAAAGGTGGCCCACGTTGGAGTATACCACCCTGGCTTTCGATATGCGGCTAGAGATTTTATCCCTCACACCTCCACCAACACTCACAATACTACCCGGATACCCAGAACAAATCTTGGACTACTTCCAACGGCTCATCACGAAGAGTGAGCGCAGACACAGGCTCCCGTGAATCTTCCAAAACCACTTTTTTCTCTTCGATGGTATCAAGCACATACCATTCTTATAAACACTAGTCGCTAGTTGATTAAGTACTGGTTCAACAGCCTGTGTATTATCGAACAGTAAGACGATATTCAAGGTCGAATAGCCGTCCTCTGGGTAGTAGATCTATATCGACACGCACCTCCTTCACCACTATCTCAAAAATACCATCAATGGCAAAGTTAAAGAGGAATGGAAAAATCGGGACACTGTGCCTAACTTCACTGCTGATTTTTAGCAATGGAGACAGATTGTTTTATGCCGTCACTCTTCCCAAAATGTTACTGAGTTACTGATGTATTCGCACCGTAATGTTTCATTTCTTAGTATTTTTGAGTGAAATGCTATTTATTAACCAAAGAAAGCTCCTTAATAGATTTCGTAAGTACTTTTTTTCGCCTTATATTTTCATGTTGATACTCTTACTATTATTTTTCTAAAAGGCAAGGTGGTTTCGACATCGTCGTGGTCATATTTCACTAACTAATGATCCTGTCGATGAGTCTTCCCCATATATCAATGATGAATACACTACTGCTAATTCGGATGCAATTTGTAAGCGCAATTCAACAATGGATCACAACTATGCACAATCACAGTCATTTTTCAAGCATTCAACAGGTCATCCTGAATCTCAGTGTGTAGAAAAAGACAATACCACTGTTCCGACGCAATCGAATAGGCTCTGCGTTATTTTGAAGACGGATTGGTCGAATCGCTTATGTTCCAAAGTGAATACAGATTGTGAAGTGTTGGTTAATCTGTCTGTTCCCGTGAGGTTTTGTAAACATTGCCTTCTAGAGGTAAGATATTTCTATGAAATACATTTCACTTCATAAGTGATTATCCAGTCTTTTCAGCTATCCTATTACTAGTTTAATGCATATCCTACTGAAAGCTACGGGAGTAACGATTGAGCCAGTCTCATTCCTTCATCTATTATACAGCGGTTAGAAATGGCTGTTAAAAGGTAGAAGACATGAAACGGTTACACAGTTTTGATTCTAGATGTCTTCTCACGTTTGTTGGAATCACCGTGTGAGTAGTGTTGGTGTCAGGCGAAGAGTACTAGGCAAGACAGGTTATGAAGGTTATGAAGCTTCATCGGCTGAAGCGGCTTGGATACGTACTGCACATGCCGAGTGATCGCCTACTTTGACGTTGGTTGGAAGAGAATTTAGAGTTGCGAGACCAAGACGTTGCATTAGTCGATGAAGTCCCCGACTGTTCGTCTAAGTCGTGTTAGGAGATGTAGATTACCTGGCTGGGGGTCGCGAAGACGAAGGGAATCAAAGGTTGAGGACTCTTGATGACATGGTTGAAAATTCGTAACAATGGCTCAGATGTATGCACTGTTTGACGTCTTTTAATTCTTGAACATTCGCATTAACCTTTATTTAGTATAATATCAGTCATTTTCTATCCACTAGTTCTTTGTATACTACTGTGAAGTGTGACAAGTTGAAGTGATGCACTTGTGTACGAGGTTCTACGTGATTTCTGTTTATCTGTCTTTCTCTATTGTTCACCTTCCTTAAATCGAATACCTGCTGACTGTTTTGCTTATTGATGCATAGTAATATGTAACAGCTTGAATTGTAGACGACTTTAGAAATTATCTTGGTGGATCGACAGATAGACAAACAATCAAATTAAATTGGGATCTTATTCATTAAATCATTCTGAAAAATATACAAACCGTTCCATGACACCTAAAGTAAGCGCGACTTTAGAGTTACTTCGAAAGCCACTCTAGCTAAAATTGAAATAACCAATCAGATTTCTTCATTTCGACTGGAAAGATATTTTTCCCTTATAAACTACTAAACTCTAATTCAGTAGTTATTAAGGTGGTGGCCTTTGAAGTCACTCCAAATATGACTACTTGACTACGATTTGAAAACTACATATTCAGCTACAATACATTATTATTTATTTATTATTCGTTCTTTGGGTTCCTAGTGGAACATTAGGATTCAATAACACGTCGCCATTCCACTCTCTTCTCTACAGTATTCTCAACCTGACACCATGACTCACCACAAACTTCCATTTCTTCCTCACACTATCTACTCCATATCACCCTCACACACACAACTCCTCGTTTCCCATTTGCTTTACAATCAACGGCCTGGTCTGGTCTAGTCTCGTCTGGCCTGGCCTGGCTTGGCACGTCATGTCCCTAAACCGTCTTCTCAGTCTATGTCCAATACAATCCAATCCAATCCATCTCCACTTCTCCGTCTTCTGCATATTTGTTGGCCGATAGCTTCTTGGCTGGTTGGTTGGTTATTTGGTTGGTTCCTGTCCAGGCCACACTTCCTTCTTGCTTATTCTTTCTGGCCATCTGATCTTCAGTTCACTGGTTTACTAGTCGGTCCTAAGCCCGGATAAAGATGGAAGGTTGGGTGTTGGGTTGGCAACTCTACCGCGTAAAACCAATCTAATCGCTAAAGAAACTTCAAAGCTACAATACACTATTTAATTTAAATTATGCGTGATGATATCGCTTGTGTTTTAATTTTAACACGGATTCAAGGCATCCATCCTAGGTTTTGTGTTTGTTGGCACTCGCCAGTAAGGCGTATCTGCAGTCTGGACGGAATTGACGTCCCGCCTGATATTTAAACCCGCGTCACCCAGTGTTGTAGTCAACGCCTTTATCACTGAGCTATTCGGGCTGCGATTGATTTACTGTAGGACTGGGTTACATATATTGATTGGTCTTGGGATAGCAACCAATTTCATGCTGTCTAGTTCTAAATACTACAGATCAAAACATTTTATTCTTAATTTCTTTCGGTAAATATTTGATTATAATGATACTGTGCATCAATGGCTAGTTTTATCAACTGTGATACATTGAGTTGGCACAATCTTTTTAACAAACAAATAAAATGTGTTGATGTTAAATAGAAGTAAATACAACAAAATGTAACAGTCATAATGCTCAGATTTAATGAACCCATAAAATACTTCATATGTGTGTAATGGTGATCATAGTACAGTTGGTGATGCAAGCGAAAAGTTGTTTGATTCAGCTTTCATGTTCTTCGTTTTCCCTCTCTCTCTCTCTCTTTTTCTCTCTCTTTGTGTCATACTTCTAGTCAACATCTTTCTTGTATTGCACGTCTTGTCTTTCGATTCTCTTAGTTGTGAATCATCAGCCAAACAATACTAATCATCATGTCATCATTATCCAGTATGAATAATGCCAACCTGATAAAAACCAAGACTGTCTTCGATAGTCAAACTGATAATGTCAGTACGATGTTCCCCTCTCTCTGATTCATCTGGATTTGAATTTGGATAAGATGTTCTGGCTCATTAGCCAGTGTGAATACGATAAACAAATAGTAAAGACTCATGAATACGTATGACAGTCGAATAAAACTCTGTGTGATGTCTGGTGTAAAATTAAAACCTGATCAGTAATCGGGTCTCATAGTTCAGTGGGTAGAGAATCGGGCTGACAACCAGGAAGGTGCTGGTTCGAATCTTGCCGAGCCTAAGGTTTTCTTTTTGGCTTGAATCCTCACCCAGTATCAATAATACCATGTCTTTATTGTATTAGGAATACAATTAGGATTTCAAAGGTCAACGTGAACATTTAGTTAAATTAATTAATCGTTAATTTTAATGCTTTGATATATCTATTCTCATAATAAAAAAAACCGTCCTTAGCCACCTTTTGCACATGCGTGCAGTAGGCAATAATCCACACCTATTATGTGAAGGCTAGTGATACTACCTGATTGCCTAAACCTCGGCGGGTGGAGCGGAGGTCGAACCCATTATCCATTGGTTGAAAGTCATCTCCACAAACTAAGTCAGTTACATAAGCGTACATTTATATCTAGTTCCCTTAAATTTTTTTCTTTTATGACTTAAGTGCTTTCCTAATCATTAACCACTAATTATTATTATTATTTTTATTGAAATTTGTATAGCAACCGCTTCGTTGTCGTCACTGTCCAGATTGTAATCGTTGTGTGCTGAAATTTGACCATCATTGCCCATGGGTGGGTAATTGTATCGGAGAACGGAATCATTCAGCATTTGTTGTGTTCCTATTTTGTCAAAGTGTTTCAATTTGGTGGTGTGTATATTTTACCTGGTAAGTTAGTTTTCTTAGGTAATTAATAATATGCGACATTATCGAAGATGTACGCGTTCTCGTTATCCTTCTTTTTTTCCCGGTTACCTTTAGCCTTCCAACTTCGTTGGAAAATTCTTCTCTGTGCTTACATACCGTCTGCATTCAACTCATATTATACTGTATTGTAGAAACGATTTACTTAAAAAGCCATCTATCTAATGCAAAATCTCGCAAACAAGTTCATCCGCTCAAGTCACCACACTTCACAGCAGTATACAAAGAACAGGCGGATAGAATAAGAGTGGTGTCAAAGTAGACAAGGTTGTATGAGGCAGTAGACCATTTGAAGATTAAGTTTAGTGCGAATACTCAAGCTGTAGATGTCAAAGTGTGAATACATCTGCATCATTGTGACTGATATTTTGCCATATCACCAAGACTTCTCAACCACTGATTCTTTTCGTCTCAGTGACCCCAGTCAGGTAGTCTACATTTACTCACTCGACTCGGACGAACATTCGCGGACTTACTTGGCCACATCTTGGTCTCGCTACCCTGAACCCTCTTCCAACCGAATTCAACTTCTTCTAGCATGGCACTTCTAGGCAGGCGGTGACTCAGCATGGGCAAGCCATGTATAAACCAGCCATCTCAGTCGACTAAGGTTCACAACCTCATCAATCGACTTATCAGTCTTGCCTAGTACCTATCGTCTGTCCTCAACATTGGTCACACGGCGATGATCGCACTAAAGGCAAGCAATACTACAAAGACACCTGTGACCGAAACCGTGTGATCGCTTCATGTCTTCTTTTACCAACAGTGTCTCACAGCCGTATAAGAGAACAGAACGGACTGCAGAGCAGTATACTGTTCTTTGGCAGATAATCGGATATCTCACCAGTTAGTGCCATAGACGACGCAGTTTGTCAAGTGATAAACGGGCCTTCCATATCCGAGCTGAGATTGTGTCAGGAACCTGTCCGTTCGGCCAACGCAACTCAATTAAGTGAAGTGGTTGATGCATTCCACCACCTACTTCACTGCCTATCATTGAACTAGAAGTAGTTGATCAGTCCTGCAGCATGCCAAACATACTCAGATGCGTGCGCAACGTGTTTAGAAGATGCTGCATTTTGTCAGGGTCTTCACCTAACAAGACAATGTCGTCTGCGTGCTCTAAATGAATTGGACGCCTTTCAGGGAGTAGATCAATCCCTGTGAAGTCAGACGTACCTAGAGTTATGTCCATAAGGACATCTATGATGAAATTAAATGTGAACGGTGACAGTGGGCATCCCTAGCAGATGTGACTAGCTGTCGTCAGTCGAAATGGCAACTGTTCATGAACCCTAAAGTGACTGCATGAGTTGAAGCAGAGAGCTTTGATTAACATTATATACTTGCTCGGTACTCAGCAGTAGTGTATACAAACAAGTGGATAGAAAAAGAGTGATATCAAAGTAGAAAAAGATGTATTGCAGGAGAAAGAATTAAGCAACGAAGGTACGACATAACATTTAAGCTTCAAAGAACATCAAAATATGAATAAAACTGTGCCATTGTGGTCGATTATTTACCATTTTACCAAAGGACCTCAACTGATAATTCCTCTCATCTTGAGGACCATGAAACTCGGTCATAGGAATTATGAGCAAAATATAGATGCATCCCAGCAATACAGTACAGTTTCCATATTATATTTGTTTATTTGCTTTATAACATAGTGATGCAGTAATATTTACTTGATGACGTTTCGAGCATAAATTATCATTGCTCATAATCATATCAATATAATCACACAGCACTTTCAATATCTGACTTGCATATATACCCACCCTATCACCTGATATTCTTTGTTTTTATTGGTAGTAAACTTTAGCATATCTCTGGTATATGTACTACATCATTCCTGATTATGTGTTGAGTGCTCGTTGATTCGATGAAGAGAGATTCAGTAATCAATCTCTCATTCCGTCTCCACCTAATTATATTGGAGTGAAGTACTATGGTTTTATCCCACTGTATTGTATAGTTGTGCGTTAATACCTGAATTGTAACAGCCGAACATTTCCCCCGGATTATTGCTCTAATTGAGGTCTGTTATTCTTGATTAAGCTGAATACCTATGTTCAACTATTGTAATTGACCATGCCGACTGGTTACTTTGGTCTATGTATTTGACCTCACGTTGACTGCATAGGATTTGGTAGATTTGATTATTTTACTTAATCAGTTGTTTAGGATCCTTACGCCAGTCGTCGAAGCTCTATCATTTATACATTCGACTAAACCTGCCTTAACTGACGTTTGAACATGTGACTTGAAGTCTAGATACCTGTTGGAATGTGACAGTTTTCTTTAGATGGTCCAAACCACTGTCTGTTCTTCGTTTCATCCAGCAATCCAACATAGGTAGTTCTCCTTGTTCATTTTTTCCCTGGTAAGTGAATTGGACTGCACTACTACTGAGTTTATATGTGTTACCAAATTGTCTATATGTTCTGATTTCAACACTGTAAATGTGTCATCCACATATCGCCACCATATCTTAGGTGTAGGATTATACGTCTGTGAAGTCATTTCCTTCCAACTATCCATAAATATATCTGCTAGGATTGTAGATATTAATGATCCGATTACTACTGCTTCTGTTTGTCTGTATATTTTGTTTTTAAACTTGAATACTGTGGATGTTAGGCACAACTGTACGCCTAAAATGATTTCATCATGCGATATCTTAGTTGTATGAGTAAGTTATGAGTCATTGTTTGTTTGAATTTCGACTGTCTCCAGTGCCATAATGATCAGTATTTTAGTATAGAGACTTGTTACATCGAAACTAATCATTTTTCTCATCTTCCTCTATATACAGGTCATTAAGCCTTAATTTTAACCCATAAGAGTTTTCTAGTCTCGAATTTAAACGGTTTCTAATAATACTCGGCTATTTCAATCGACGCCATACAACAAGAGACAACCACACAATACAGTAGGATAAAACCACTTCAATTAAGTCCAATGTAATTAGGTGGATAGAGAGATTGATTACTGAGTCTTTGTTCATCGAATCAACGAACACTCAACACATGTAACAGGAATGATACAACACCTAGACCAGAGATATATGAAAAATTTAACTACCAATAGAAATAAGGAATATCTGGTGATAGGACTATAAAAGTCAGATATCAAAAGTCCTGTTTGATTACACTAATAGTATATGCAATGATAATTTATGCTGCAAACATCATGAAGTAAACAATACTGTATCACGCTGTGTTATAAATCAAATAAGCAAATCTAATATGAAATTACATTCTACCTCAATGCTCAAGTCTTACGCTTATATTAACAGTCCAGTTCCATCTATTATACCATAAAGTAGTAATTCTACCTTGTTGTTTGTACTGTCGGTATATGGAGCGGATCATTTTGATGTCGACCGACTAATGTATCGTTTTCCTTCAGATAGCATCGATTAACTTTTGATAGTACACATCAATAGTACACAATAATCTAGTTGAGGGTAATTTAAGCACTGAATAGGTTTTCTTTCGGATACGTTTGAATGTGATAGATCAGAGTATAGAACAGTTGTAATTTGTTCGATAAATACATGGAAGTAAGTTGAGACTCACTCAAGATTTTCAAATACAAATGAATATTTTTGTATGTTTTAGCATCAGCACAGTTAAACTTTAATCATTATAATCGACTACACTTGTTCTTATGTGTGATTTTTTTTTTAATTACGTGAATTGAAGCCAATTTGACGAGGTTATGAACCTTCATGGATTGAGATGGTTGGGACACGTACTACGTATGCCTAGTCACTGATTGCCTCGTCACACAATGTTGGCCGAAGTAGGCCTGGGCTGGAAAAAGGCCCGAGGTGGCCAGACTAAAACATGGCACGAATGTATGAAGTCTCTGACTGTTGGTTTGAGCGATGTGGGGGGCGATGCAGACTAGGTGGTTGGGGTCTGCGGGACAAGAGGAATCAGTGGTTGGAGACTTTAGGTGATATGGCTCAGAACTGATGTTGGTGGCACAGATGTATACACACATTTTCCTCATCTTAACGATGTTATATCGATTCTCACCATTTTCTCATTCTTCCTTTCTCTCTTTGAGTACTTTGTATTTCTTTTGTGTGAATTATCTTCATCTTTCACCTCATTACCTTTCTACTTGATGTACTGATATGAGCTATGGTAACTCGAACCGTTACGCAGTAATGCCTGTTCCTATGTTGATGATGATGATGCCCTTTTGTCTACTAGTCGTCAGTGAGTGGAATTCTAAGACTTTATGACGTGGATTGGAATAAATAGTTCTCTTCATAGATGACTTATGAGGTAATAGGATGGTATACTTGCTTAGAACTGAACGATGGTACAGTTTAAAGCATAAATAATGCATAGTTGTACATCTCAGTTTCCATTTTTCTCTTTGTATGTGTGTTTATGCTCGTTTCTTTTCTTTCAAAGAAAAATATATATGTATATATATATATTTCAGGTGGTCATTTGTAGGAACACTTGATTGGATTGATTGGTTCCGAAATAATGGTTTATTCTTATTTCTTATAATTATGCTGACTGTCTGTGGAATACCTGTTACTCTAATACTTGGATTTCATGTGTATTTGGCTTCAGTTAACAAAACCACTTGGGAAACAGTAGCACATGATCGTATCACTTATTTACAGAGTTTGAAATCTCATGAGAATCCTTTCAATCAGGTGAATTTCAACTTGAAGTGTTATTATAATTTTAATTACATTTCATTTAGTTTTTCCTCTAATTGCTTACGTGTTTTGTTGTAATTGGTATAATTATTTTCTTCGTTATTTGTGTCAGTTATCATTGTCTGGTTGGTTGCATTTATACGGCAGTTATTGTATATTTCCAACTGTGATCTCGTTCACCGTTCTCATTTAATTTCATTATAGATGTTCTAATAGACATAACCTTAGGTAAGTCTGACTTCAAAGGGATTGATGCATTTCCTGGAGGTCATCTGGTTGACTTTGAGAGTATGCAGACGATATTGTCTTGTTTGATAAAGATGCTGACTCAATGCAGGGTCTTTTGAACGCATTGAGCAGAAATTTGAATGTTTGACAAACGTTTTGCATCTGTCGTAAAATATCAGATGATGCTCCAGGACTGGTTTGCCAAAAGTTCCCCCATTTTAAATGATAATGAGTGAAGTAGTGAAATTTTTGACATTATTTAGGGGAGTTTCATCACCCTGAATGCGGTGGTTACTGATGAAATATTTGCTTGGATACAGAAGGGGCAATCGGCACTTGTCAACTCCAGTCATCTATGACGCCGACTAGCGAGAATTCTGACAATCTATCATAGATGAATATACTATTCTAAAGTCCATTCTGTCTTGTCATACAGTCGACATGAACTGTGCAATTTGTAAATCATTTACAAATTGACCATCTTATTCTATGTCCCTGTTAGCAGGATTTCAACCTTAATTCGTGTTTCACATGTGAGAATTAACATATCAATATTTCGTATTTTGCTTACTTATTATTTCTGTGTAGTATCAGTCAGTCACGAGTCTAGTGGTATACTATCTAAAACATCGTTTAACACGTGTGGTTCCCCCGTTGTTTGACCTCCTTTAGCAGATGGACTCCTTTGCGGATGTCTCGATACTGTCGTAGTATTCATTGTGTTGTAGTCTACTTGATGGCTAGCGATTGGATTCGTCTTATTTAGGACTCGTCACCTAGATGTGTCTACATTGCAGTGAGACTCGAACCTGATACCTCTCACTTCAAAACACCATAGCGTTATCCATAGTTTAATTATAGAGACTTTCTTTTTTTCTTTTCTTGTCAATCAATAGGGTTACTTATGGAATTGTTATGCTTTTTGTTGTTCTCGTCACCCATTTGGTTGGGATCGAATTTATGCTAATTCTGCTGAACGATTTACTCCTTTCAATAAAAAAGACTCTCATAGTTATAATGATACAAATACACCTATATGTGTTCATCCTGATACCTGTGAATCAAACAACCAAACTAATCGTATCAATCAACCTGTTTAATTATCGCTTAGATTAACGTGTTTTTGTATGCATATCTCTAAATATAGGCTTGTTAAATGTTCAGTTTTTTTTAAAATATATATATTGTATTTTTCAATTCTTAAATGTTGTCTGCATATTGAACATAGAAAGATTTTGCTTTTCATAAGTTTATTGGTATAAAATTATTTCTACGTTTTGAGTTTCAAGTTATTTTTTATCTTATTCTCTTTTGTCATACTACTGCTTCAGTGTAGTCTCTCTAGTTTTAAGTTTTATATTCAGCATATTCAGTGTGTATGAGTAACTTTGATTACTCTTTACTGCTGGTGCATAATTAACATGCTTTATAAACTAAGTGTTATATGTGATGATTATCGTGTTTTTGCAAATCTCATATCATTGTTACAATGGAATTCGATTATTTTTTTTATCATCATTCGTTCAGCTTTTTGTTTTCCTAGAAGGAAAAAAAAAGAACACTAACTGCTGATACCGCCGAACATGAAGAGTCCTTTGATTTTTCTTTCCGAGTTCATTTTTAAATGAATTGATAATCTTTCATAAATATTCTTCAGTTTTCATCTTATGTATACCAATCTAAAGAGTTGTTTTTGTGTGTTGTGTTTACGTCTTTTTCTTAGATAAAAAGGGAAGAATAATAACAATGATGACAAGTATATTACTGAAACAGTTGTGATAAACTAGCATCCTACTGTTTCTAATAGGTGAACTTTCTTCAGAGTTATTGTGTTTATCTGATTTATTCTTCTCTGTCTCTCTCTTCTTGTGTGTGTGTGTGTGTGTGTGTGTGTGTGTGTGTGTGTGTGTGTGTGTGTGTGTAATCCAAGTTAATGGCTTGCTGTCTACTTATCCATTGTATTGAATTGCATTTCATCCTGGAATATATCTAGAACAGATGCTGTGTATTCATACACTTATCTCAGAAGCGTTTTCACCTATAGCTATGCTGACTAACTGATAGAATCAATGTAGAACCTTGTACATTGACTCAAGTTGTCACATTTCATAGAAGTACACAAAGAACAGGAGAATAGAAAAAGACTGATATTGAAGTATATAAAGTTGTGTGAAGAAATAAACAAGTTCAAGATAACAATTAGTGCAATTATTCGAGCTTTAGAAGACGTCAGGAAGTGAGTACATCTGCGCCACTGTCACTGATTTTCAGCTGTGTTACCAAAAGTCTGATTCGTTTTGTCTTGAGGACTCTAACCTGGCAGTCTATATCTATTCACATGACTCAGAGGAACAGTTGGAGACTTCATCGACTGGTGCCGCATCTTTGTCTTGCCACTCTGAACCTTCTTCCAACCTAATCCAACTTCTCTAGACATGACATATCGGATTGGATGGTGACTTTGCATGCATAGTACATGCCTTAGCCATCTTGCTCAGTTGATTAAGGTTCACAATCTTATCAATCGACTTGCTTAATACCCTTTTGCCTGATCTCAACATTACTCATATCGCTAGCAATGCTACGAAACTACCTGTGATCAAAATCCTACAGCTATTCAAGTATATTTGAAGAAATCGAGAAAAAGACGCCATAATGGATGACAGCATTCCATGAAATGAACAGGAGTAGATCAGAGTTAATGTATTCAGTCACAAAATAAGTAATTTCCAAACATTTTAATATTCATTAGTAGCATGATTTAAGGTAATTAGTCTTACATAAGGGACAGAGGTTTCTTTCGATCGATTTCTACTAACTTACACTAAGCACAGTATAACTTGACTTTGGTTGGATACATTGCAAAGTATATCGATAAACTTAAATCAACCATAATAAATTTCTCAACTGAATAAATAAGCATTTAACAAATAATTTCTATAGTTATCCATTAAATACTTTTCTTAAAAATGTGATTTATCTACTCATCAGATAGGTAATAATCATCCAAACATGAAACTTTAAGTCACAGGGTAGTAAGTTAGTTTGCACTCGTAAGATATCTCTTATAGGATATACCATGTAAAGGAAGTAATAGTTTTTTTTAAAGTATCTGAGATAAATTGTTGAAGTGAAGAGTTCAATTTTTGCTGACCCCTACCTAGTAAAGTGTTTTCAGCACTCATTAAAATATTCGAGCAACTTTATAAATATCAGACTTTTAAGTTTAACCTCAAATCTAAATGAGACTTATATGCCCACTTGTAGTTCTTTGACTCGTGTATTGTTGCTAATACAAAACAAAATGAGTATCATCAAATTTGGATTATATCTCATCTTTGTTGGTTTTCTCATATTTTTCTAGAAATTTTTTCATTGAGCGTATTATATAAGGGAGCTACAACTAGCTAGTATAATAGCCTATGCTTTTACCATTTATTACTTCCTATATTTTACCTATTCTTCACTCTTAGTTTACTAAAAAAGGACTATGTTGTCTTGCGTAGATCTTTGAAAGCTGTCAGTACAGTATAAATACTGTGCCTATGGTTCAACTGATTAACACTATAGTCGACAGACATTCAATATCTATCAGGTAACTAGCTATAGTCATTTTAGTCACGGTTCTCTTTACGTATCTTCTCAAGGAGTACAGTGAAAAATTATATTAGACTGTACGTTCATGCGGCTAAATATAGGAATTCATTTGCACCTGTCTTATCCAGTATGCATCTAATGGGAGAGAAAAGTGTTAGAATAGAACTCACATATCAATAATAAATAATCAATGTTTCCAGTAGGTATAATTTCACCTATTGCCACTATTATTTACATAATTTAAGTCGCTGTAATTAACACTATTCTAAATGTTGTAAAGGAGTATACAATTTTACTGGAATTTTAAATTGTTTGAAAGAAAGTGATTACTCTTTTTCTTCTTCTTCTTCTGCCTATTATCATTATTATTAAGCTTAGACTGATATTGTAGTCGCTAATTATGAAAACTGAAGTTTGTTAAATCGAATACCGGAGTCAGAAAAGTTGTATACGTGCTTAGGAGTACACAGTATGCGTTATGAGAAATCATTTTTCTCTACGCTGTACCATATCTCACCATTTTGTCATTCCTTTTTCTTACTTACTCACTTACCTGGGAAGTAGGATGAACCCTGGTGGGTTAGTTGCCGATGAGATTTCGGCACGGATACAAAAGGCTCGATTGGCTTTTGCCAATTTGCGCCACCTATGGCGCCGCCGTGATATTCGTTTGTCTATTAAGGGTCGTGTGTACTGCACAGCAGTCCGCTCTGTTCTACTGTATGGCTGTGAAACATGGCCACTGAAAGTGGAGGATACAAAAAGGCTTCAGGTGTTTGACCACCGTTGCCTTCGTAATATAGGACGTATTCCGTGGTGTCACCACATGAGTAATGCAGAAGTTAGGTGTAGAGTTTTGGGGAGAAGAGGTAAGTCAGTTGACGAGGTTGTGAACCTTCATCGACTGAGATGGTTGGGACACGTACTACGTATGCCTAGTCACCGATTGCCACCTCACACAATGTTGGCTGATGTGGGTCCAGGCTGGAAAAAGGCCCGAGGTGGCCAGACTAAAACATGGCACGAATGTATGAAGTCTCTGACTGTTGGTTTAAGCCATGTAGGGAGGGCGATGCAGACTAGGTGGTTGGTGTCCGTGGGACAAGAGGAACCAGTGGTTGGAGACCCTAGGTGATATGGCTGAGAACCGAAGTCAGTGGCGCAGATGTATACACACATTATCCTCATCTTAACAACGCTATACCGAATCTCACTATTTTGTCACTCCTCTTTCCTTTCTTCTCGTACTTTATATTTCTTTTGACTGCATTCACTTATCTTCATCCTTCACCTCACTACCTTTCTACTTGATGTAGTGATATGAAGTGTGGCAAGTTGGACCGTTACGCAGTAATGCCTGGTCCTATTTTGATTGATTGATTTAGCATCCACAAGTAAGATATTATATGGGATACACCATTCAGAGACAATAATAATAATCGCTTTATTCTAAACAGCATATATGAAACATTGTGAAATTTTCAGGAGGTAACGTTTCAACAAATACTCTCGATGTATAGAATTTTTTTCAAAGAAATAAAATTTTTATATGTGAATAGTATCAATGATAACGAAACTGAAGGCACTAAATTGAAATGAATAGCTGGTTTTGAATGAATACAAAACTATACTGTTGGTGATTAAAGCAGCTAGCACAAAAAGAAAATTGTATTCTTAAACAATTATATCTACATTTTCATCCATCTCAAAGTTTTTCCCTTGTTTCATTTTTATCTTGAGAAACGAGAGTTTAAAAATATTTCAAAACAATACAAGAGGAGTATGTAATATACATCTAGAAGATATATCTGAAAAGATTTGAACAATCAGAAAGGGAATAATTTGATGAAATATTGTCATTGAAAAATATTTTGATAGCCTATAATTTAAGCAGGTTGAAATATTGATTTACTAAGAGAACCTTATTGAAATGAGGAGTTGAATTTATGCTAAGTGATCATTGGTCAACTTGACATTGTATTGTTAGAAATATTCAGTGTTTTCAACACTCATTTCTTACTAAAGCATTCGAAGAAGCTAAAGTTTGACTAGTTATACTACAGGTTTTATGTTCCTGACATAAAGAAGGGTTTACTTCAATACTTTATTCCTGTGGTAAATTATTGGTGTAGGAACCTTGTGTTACATGATATATATTTATAGTTATTAGCGTACACTTGACTTGATCAACTGTAATTCATTAAATGATGGTGTGTTTATTACAAGTTTAAATAAACAATTTGATTAGTGAACACGCAAACATATGATTCGCTTTAGACTAGTATTATACTGTTCGTTTTGGTGGGAATTTATTTTCTGAATCATAAAAGTATAAGCCTGTTTACAGACGGTTTAAATTCATACGATAAAAGTTTTGATTCACTGCTAGTATGATGTGATCTAAGATTCGGTGCTATTGAATCCTAGTTACCTTAAGAAATAATTAATTTCAGACTACGAAACATGCCCATTGAATCATAGAGAAGAGATAATTCAGCGAAGAGGAATTTCTTTTCCGACGATGTCATTTTCCAAAGCTGTACAGTCGTATTTATATATTTTAGAAGTAGTATTCATTATGGACTGACATCAGTTGGGGAACCATTGAAAATCTGGGAGCACTGGACATCTGTTTCGTCCTAGTATGGGACTCAGCAGTACGCACCCACGACCCGGCTAGGGATCGAACTCAGGACCTTCAGGTTTCACGGCGAACACGTTAACCATTCAGTCACTGGGTCTGTTTCCAGTGGTTCACAATTTCCAACTTCTGTCAATTCATGACATAGCGCGATTGTCACCCAAGGTCTTCGACCCCTAGCGGGGTCGTGGGTGCTTACTGCTGAGGAGTAGCATACCAGGACGAAAAAGCTGTCCAGTGCTCCCAGATTTTCAATTCTTCTCCAACTGATGTCAGTCTATGATGAATGCTACTTCTAAATTAAAAATCCCCATTCATCTCAAAAATACAGTATTTATTTATGTCATAAACATATAACAATCTATTATAAAACAATAGGGTATGCTTACATTATTAACCTAGTGCTAGAAAACCAGGACCAAGAATGCAAAGTAGTTGCGTAATAAACTAAAACGGTAGAAATATGGAGGAAGGCAGGGAGTTGTTGTTGGATAAGAAACGCAAATATTGAGTGTCCACTTGATAGATGTACAGAAGGTGAAGAATGAGACAATGGTCATAATGCAGGTGATAATAATCAACTAATTAATTATAATGAAATCGAAAAAAAAGTGAAAGTGTTAAGCCCATGATAAGATGAGAGGTTGAACATACTTGTTTTGCACTCAGAGATCAGGCTTGAATTGATGAATTGTCAGTGCTTCCGCTGTGCACAACTTTTGAAGGTGTACTCTTTTTGAACTATTCCATCTGACAAGATAAATGATACACATATAACACAT